TATGGTCTACTTAGTTATATACTTTTATTATATCTAGCTATACTAGTAATATATAGTATTTATTACTCTAAGTAATATAAACTTTTTATATTATTATCTTAATAGCTATCTTAGTATTTCTTTTAAACTTATTTTTTATTTATATCTTTAGAAGTATTCCTTTAGTCTCTACTAAGTAGGTTAGCTAGATTATTATAACCTTTTTAATTATCTCCCTAACTATAAATAGTAGTATAATTAGTCTATAGGCTCTAGCTTACTCTCTTTCTTCTCTTATCTTCTTTAGTTTCTAAAATATAACTATTTTTAATCTTTTAAATTAGACTAGGAAGTACTAGAATATAAAGCTTACTTTAGTTATTACTATTAGAGCTAGGTAGAGTAGTTTCTTATACTTTCTAAGAAAGCTATTTATAAGCTAGTTAAAGCTCTTAGCTTTCTATAAGAGAAATCTTATAGCTATAGCTATATTAGCTTTAATTACTTCTTAGATAAAGTAGTATTAAAAAGAGAAGCTATCTTAGTTAAACTACTAGTTTAGTATACTAGTATAGTCTATAGTCGAGATTAAAAAGAACTTCTCTAAGAGAATCTTAGCCTTATTAGTATATATATTATTTATAAGTATTCTATTTGTCACGGATGCCAACAAAGGATAAAGTGTATACAGCTTTTGAATCAAATGCTAGAACTAAAACCGTAGGTACGAAGAAATCAAACTAAAGAGAGAAGAGAATCTGAAAGGAGCGAAGTTATTTAAGTTGTTCCAATGCCAAGTCTCGTCACGTGCTTGGCCAAGCGAATGAAATCCTGTCAAATGAAATCCAGCTCCGTCACACTATTAGCTAACTTTAGTTTTAGAAAAGTAGGTACTTCTAGTTATAAGTAGCTTCTTATCCTAGCTTATTTCTCTAGTTCATAGAGCTTCTAGTTATCTTAGAATACCTTATATAGTACTCCTTTTTAGCTTACATATCTAAGTCTATCTTATAAGCTTTTTAAGTTTAGCTAGGGCCTCTTTTCTCTAGGTACTAGTACTATTTATATAAAGGTTCTTTTATTACTTATTCTTAGTCTTTACTTTTATAAAAGCTTCTTAAACCTCTTAATTCTACTAAAGTACTACTTATTTATTATTTAGCTTCTTTAAAAAAATAAAGACTCTAGCTATATATTATAGTTTACTAATTAAATAGTCTACTACCTCTTTAAGTTACTTAATATTATAGATTATTAGAGTACGTATAGATTTAGCTTCTATAGCTACTCTAGACTTATCTATAAGCCTTTAGCTAAAGCCAGGGATTAGGGTTTTATAAAAGGTCTTTCTAAGGTTAATTTTAAGGTACTAGCTCTTATAATGTAAGTATAAGAGATTCTTAGCTTACTCTTATATTATAAACTCTCTTAAGAAAATAGCTAGGTTAATTATAGAGTTTCTCTAATCTTTTTCTCTATTTTTAGTAATCTTTTTAAATAGTATAAGTAGGTAGAAACCCTACTTTACTATTACTTAGTAGATATATACTAAGGCTAGGTTTATATATTAGTATTTATTCTACTTTAGGCTATAAGTATTAAAGTTACTTATAAGTAGTACTCTTTAGTATAGTCTCCCTTTTCTTATTATCTTAAATATAGGTAAGAGCTTACTTAGTAGATAGTAGAGTAAATAAATAGCTATTACTAGCTAACCTATTAGAAACTAGACCTTCCATTAGTTCCTCTTTACCTTATAAAACTATAAGGCTATAGGGTATTATTTATATACTAGAATAATCGCTCTCTCTAACTCCTATACTAGATAGTACTATAAACCTAAGCTATACTAGGGTAAATTAGTTATATTATTCTATAATAGCTCTTAGATAGAAAGGATATTAGCTCTACTAGAGAGCGCTTTAGTATAAGCTTTAGGGTATCTATAAATATTCTAGTATATTAGTTATATAATTATTAGATACCTCTAACTATTTCCTTACTAGTTTCTAATATATCTATATTTAGTATATATTTACCTAGGAAGGGAATAAGAAACCCTAAGAGATTCTACCTATTCTTAGAAGTAGCCCTTTATAGTAGTCTTAGTTAGCCTATATAAAGAGGGGACTAGGCCTAGATAGACCCCGACCTACCTTTATTTCTTAACTTAGTATACTTACTACTAGGTTAGAGTTTAGACTCTTATTATAAGAAGTTTATATATATATATATACAGTAGTTATCTTTTAATAAGTATTAGAAGTAGAGGTTATAATTCTATCCCTATAATAGGCCTTAGCTAGTCTAGACTAGTTCTATATAATAAGGTAGTCTGTCTTTAAAAAGGTAGGGTATTTCCTTTTATAGTTAGTATACTTTACTAAAGCTTTTCTCTTTTTTAAGAGGTATTTATCTTTAGTTTTATAAGTACTACTAGTATACTAGGCGTATCTCGAGCTCCCTTTATAGTATTTAGCTATATATCTCTATTACTAGTACTTAAAATATTTTATAGTATTTACTTTTAATATATATCTTTTATATAAGAAGTACTAGCTCTCCTAGAAGAGACCTCTCTTATAAAGTAGTCTTACCTTCTTAATAGTAGCTACTTCTAGAATAAGGTTTATTCTTATCTAGTTCTTTTTATCTAGCTCTACTAACCTTATCTAAGTAGCTTTAACTATCTAGACTCTAGATCTTATACTTATCTAGTTAAGGAGCCTTATAGGCTTTATACTCTAAGTAACTTTAGCTAAGAACCTCTTTACTAGTACTACTTGTATTCTTCTAACTACCTTAGCCCTCTTACTAAAAGTACTCTTCGCTTACGTATTATCTCTTATAAATTCTACCTATTACTCGCTCTTAAATTATATATATATATATCTCTAGAAAGTAAGATTTATACTATAATTACTCAGAGACCTTTATTTATAACAGATCTAAAGTTAATAAATATAATAATTTCTACTACTAAGTAGCCCTGTAGCTCCTTAATTATAAACTAGCTATAGATAATTAGTTTATAGAATTATTAAGCTAGAACTATATATTCTTTATATTTTACTAGTTTTAGATTTTATAGGACGTTTACCTAGGTTAGAGGTACCTTAAAGGGGAAAGCGGAGTTTTTTAGATAGTTATATAAAAGGGAAACTATTATAAGACTATTTCTAGATAATTTAAAATTATATGACTATAAAACTATTACTAAGGCTTACTCTATTATATTATATATTATAATATAAATATATAAAAGAGACTTAAATAACTAGCTCAACTACCTAGTCGGCTAAGTATAAAGGCTCGGCGACCGCTAAGTTATATAACCCTATAATTATATTTTATAACTATAGTTTATATGTTATAAAAATAAATAACTTAAAATATAAAAAGAAGCTAACTAAGAAGTAAATAGACCTCTAATACAGGAGCTAACTATTAGCTTAGAAGTATCCAGGATAGGACTAGCGCTTTCTATAGAATATACTAGTACTAAACAGTAGAGCCGAGAGCTTATTTTATAATAATTATTATTATATTTTTAAATTATTTTAAATAATAAAATAATTAAGTTTTATATTCTTTATACTTTATAGCTAGGTTATATATACCCTTTTAAAAGAAAACTTCTTAATATAAGGTCTCTTAATATTTATAGTTACTTATTATTTTAATAATAATAATAAATACTTTACCTAGTACGTAAGTGGTGGCTGAGCACGTGACCTACCATGCGAACGCGGGACAGCGCCCGCCGACAGGTAAATCGCTCGACTGTCGTACCTACAATAATCGATTATTAATAAAACTATTATCACTAGATAGGCCTGATCGCATAATTATCCTGTACTAATAGCCAAACTCTTCGAAAGGTTGTTGCGTCGATGCATCGATAATTAGTCCCTCAAGGGGGCAAAATCGCCAAAAGTCGATTTTGCGATTTGGCCATTTTGCGCTAGAGGGTCGGTAACGGCCACCATATTGTTGTTGTCAGGTCAGGATGGGGTGGCCGGGTGCTTGCATCAAGTCACAGACCATCAGGTGCCCCCTTCGGATCCCAATCGGCAATTCTTGCATCTCTTACCCCCTGACGCCCTTGCACCCTTCGAGCATCATGAAACAGCACAATTCTTGCGACGCCACCAGCTTCAACATTTCTCTTATCTGCTTCCGTATCGATTATCACCGCAGCAGCTCGTGCGTGACGACATAAAATACACGAAGAGAAAAAAAATGTGACTGTCGATGAAAAATGGTCGAAACATGCCACGGCCGTATGATTGAGTCTTCGTCAAGAGACCTCATTCTCGCAACCACACTGAGAACGCACATTTCACGTCCAAGCCACCATCATCAAGAAGAAACAAAACACAGCCTGACCATCTGACATCGCCCATAGAGTCATATTATATCATTTCACCTGCAAATTTTTCCATCATTCCGACTGATATCACATCCACGATCGTTATCGTGAAGGAGTGCAGGTGGATCCGTCCCATCTAAAACCCCCTTCCTCCCATTCCTCACCTCCCAATCAAAAACCCATCCATTCTCCGTTCCGTACACATAGAGATCAGAACCAAAAAAAAAGAATTGATTTTGCAGAAACAAGATGTCTTAGACCCGGCATCCCGCATTCCAACACTCGTGGGGAAATCACTACCTGGTGGTACCGTATTAACGAAAAAACAAACCAAACCAGCCACATCCCGATCGCGAATAAATGAATGATTTCGGGGGACTTCCCCGTCCTGTCGTGTCACAGACAAGATCCTCGGTTCACAAGATGAAGTAAAATTCTTTCCTTATTTGTGGACGACCAAAACAGTCTATTCGAAATGCGATGTGTGCGAGGGGGGGGGGTGTTTATCCAGCGGAATCCCTGCAGCCTTAATACCAACCGTCCCGTCCTTCATGAACTTCGTGGATCGGGAAATTAAAGAAGATGAATAAACAGTAAATCAACCTATGCTTTGGAGGATTGAGTTAATCTATTCGATTCATGATTTTCAGTTGGTGAGTTGGTGGATTGATGAATTGACTTTCCTACTCCGTACTACTGAACTGTTCTCCCCAAAGACTCAAAGAGAGAGAAATAAATTGGTATCCTGTTAAAGCCAAAAAAAAACTCCACACTTTCTCTTACAAAATCTCTTGATACCCCGCAATTATCACTCCACGCACCACACGATAAACACGGCCAATTGATATGTAACCGTCACAGTACGACCTGCTACCCTCGTCACGGAGATGTTCCCCATCCAGAAGCCACCTAAAGAAAATGGCCTGTGCATACTCGTAACCACCAAAGCCCTTACAGTATATGCTTACTCTATCATATGTCCCAAGTAGGAGGCTCAAATAGAGTAGGTAGAGCTCGCGACAGTAGTTGTCTCAAACGCACGCAGGGCATAGCCGGCCTGGCGCTGATCACACACCACCAAAGCCGACTACCCGACTTTTATTTTTAATCGACGACATATCAAGCCATTGGTGTCTTTTCCAAGATCTTTTCAATATCCACATTTGTTGTTACTGTGGAACTCGTATGAGATCTCCCTGAATACGTCCCAGTTGCCAGCAAACCCAATAAGAATACCCTCATGGGGACATCTTCACGATACAAGCTTTATGCAAAACGGTTACTGTTGCCCAGGTCCCCAGCCAAGATGAGGTTAAAGGCACAATTCATCCTCGCTCTCAGCCTCTAATGATGCTCTTCTGCCTGCAATGGACTTCCTTCGTTTCGATGTTTGTACTCGTTTGGAACGACGATCCCTGAATCCTCGACAACTGGTAAGTCCTAGGGTTCCGGATTCCGGTTGCGACATAGATACTGAAAGAATGCTCAATTCATCATCGCTGTCATCTGAAGTAGTCTGCCTTGTTTGACTAGATCTACACGCCCGACTTTCAAGTTTCGGTGCCCTGTCAGAATCATTCCGTCCACTTCGAAGTTTCCTTGCATAATGTGATGACGAGGCCGAAGAAGACATGCTGGTTGTGTAGAAATCGTCAAACGATCGTCTGCTTTGGCTGGCTCTCAACCTTCTTCTCTTAGACGGCGCTTGATCTGGCTCTGACAAATCGCTGCATACACGGCTCCTGGAAATTGACGAGCTGCTGGAGCATATGGAAACCTCCGAAAATATGCTTTCCTCTTCAAGAATAGAGCTTGAATCGGAATTGTTACCATCGGTTATTCCCCCATCAACAGACTCTACCACTTCGAATGGTTCAGCAGCAGAAGACTGGTTAGAACGAGTGCTGCCAGAGGAAAACGTTTCCCAAGCCCTTTTCTGGCGAAGGGGAAGGGACTCGCGTTGGGACGTGGTCTTTATCAATGTAAATGTGTTGAAGACATTGTATTTTTTTAAGCTGTTGATAGGTGTCGCAGTGATCCACTCGCCGATTCCTTCTTCCCAACGGAATCCTATCCCTGGATTCGCGGCTTCACAGAGCTTAGATTGATTTTCTGGTGGCATTTTCCTGTGGCCGAACTTCTTTTCAATCATCGTTGCATAGTTTATGTGAGCCGGCTCAGGACTTTGATTGGCGAATGCCATGGCACTGTCAAAAATGAACCCTTGAAAATAGTGAGTTCCTTCCATATCTTGTGTGGCATTTTCTAGCGTGCTGTGTAGAAGTTCTAGATGTTCAAAGCCCATACTTGCGGAGCCGCGACCACAACAACGTGCCATAGAACATATTAATGCAGCCACATCATCGCAGACAGTGGAATTATCATCACAGCCACCGAGAACCTCGCGAATTTGATTGACCAAATGCTCAATGAAAGATGAACCATGGCCAGAATTTCCGAACACTTCTGCAAACAGATTGGCCACGAGCAACATGACTGATGGGTCTTCTGATGGATACAAAGCTTCGAATTGCTGCAAAGAACCCCGAAAGAGGGCAATAAGAGATCCACACGTATTTGAAGATGCCACTTCGCCAGTTTCCGTGCTAAGAATCAAAATGGACAAAATTGTTGTGAGCAGGCTTGAAAATGTCGATTCGATGGCTTGAAGAATTGGTTCTGTAAAGCCCTTTCCAAAGTAGTCTGTGCCTGCTATCAAGGGTATAGAGATTTCGAGGAATTCCAGCACACCTGAATCCATAGATTCAGGTGATATTCTTTGTACTACTCCCGTCCAAAAAGCCCGAAAATCTTTGGTGGCTAACCAGCCCACTGGCAACGACCCATTGGAGAGCAAACTAGCCAATTCTTGATATTGAAAGGTGTGACGGCCTGTCGCTTCCGTAAATTTTCTCAGCAATAATAAGGGCCGCGGGATTTGATCGTAAGGTGTTTTAGGCGCCTGGAAAGGACCAGATGCTAGCAGAGAGGATAGCAACAACTCCGCTTCTTCGGTAGCAAAGTTTTGATGGCACAGTGTTATTAGAATACTGCAAAATGAAACATCCAGGAGCCCTGCACGAATTGCATCCGCGAGAACTTTTATGCCATGTGATCGAACAACAATCCTCAAGTGCTTCCACCCATGACCTGATGTCCCCAGGTACTCCAGATCATCGTAGATCTCTGTCGCTATATCTCTAGTATCAATAGAGGATTTTGTGCCGGTCTCCTCCAGGTATGCGAGAGATGCATTCTCCTCTTGTTCAATATACTCTGGAACTGCTCTAAGACACATTGAGAACAATGATCTCGAGCCCTTCCGGCTTACTTTTGCTGGTTCGTTGGTAGATCGTAGAAGTGTCTCAAGTCCATTGTACAAGCCCTCGTAAATCGCATAACGGGATGCCTCGGTGGTTTGTCGCATACTCCTAATTGATCCAGACAGTTGCAGACTCGACTCTGGGTGATTTGAAGGGCGTCCAAGTTTCCCAATCTGCTGCCAATCCGCCTCACAATCGGTTAATGAAGAATCGTGGTTTTCGCATGACAATTCCCCCCTTGCTCGAGCCAAAATGGGCGTTGGCACATGTATCTCCCCGAGTATAAGTGCCTTTCTCCCGTCCACAAGTGATGTCGTACGTGGTGTATTTGGCGCATTTCGTGCGCCTGTATTTCTCCCTCCTCGATTGGAATATGTCCGCTTGACCTTGTTCTTCGACGACCCCTTTTTTGTCCAATCCGCATCATCGTCTGGGTAGCTTGACCGCTGTCGAGTTGGTTTCGTAACCTTTGCGCCGATTTGATTTGACCCTTGAGCAGTTCCCGAAATCAAAGAGAGTTCCTTTTTTAGTATTGCGACTCTGGAAGTGAGGGCTCGTAGTAATCGGTGACATCTCGCTGTGGTCCATTCCTGCTCCCGCTCACCCCCAATCTGCTGTCTTGTATTTATATCACACACTCGCCGTCGAACAGGTGTAAAGCCATGCAATTGAATGCCAGTATTGCAAATATCGGATACCATGATGTTGGATAGCCTGTGATTTTTTTAGTTGTTGTTTTTGGCGCATTCCGACTCCCTTGACACATACCTATTTGATGACATGTATTTTTCTCTGACGATGCTAAGCAAAATGAGTAAAGCAAAAAGCAAAAAGCGATTGGTAACATGAAGGGTCTTGCGACCCAAGAATACAGCAGCTTAAGCGAGAATGTTTATATTCTATTTGTTGTTGTTGTTTATATTCTGGGGAGCTCGTTGCCCAGGCCCTAGTGACCAAAGAGGTACTGGTGCCAAGCCTGCGAGACTCCACCACTAGTGGAAAAGCGGCGGCAAGTGTCGGTTCATTCTTTCAAGTAACTGGTCAACTCATGTGCAACTCTACTAAATGATAACAGCTTGCACAGGTAGACAATCACATCTAGATTGGTCCTAATTAGGTAATTCTAACTCTATTCCATAGATCTTTTCATATTCCTTTTTGTAAGAATTGTTTGGGCTCATTAGTAAGGTACCTAGGGAGAGGCAGATAGGGGATTGTAGGTGTAGTACAGTACCTAGGTACCTACGAGTACAGTGCCTCGAAAGTGCCTACAATGTCCCTACTTGCTCACGCTACTAGCGGCCGCTTTTACCAGCGGCGAGTGACGCGGTTCAAGCCAATCAGCGACCGCTCAGCCACGCCGGGTGCTCTCGGAAAGCCACGACCTTCCACCACCAACGTAAACTTTCTCCTTGGATTTTTTTCTGGAGCCATTCCATGATCCCTACAAGACACAGAGGAGATCTTTTGCGCCCCTCCTCTTCCACCTTTTTCTGCCCGAACCTCCTCTTACTTTCCTTGTAATTCTCCTACACCTGCCCTACCTTCCTGACAGAAAAGACCCGTCTCTATTTCGCGCAAAGTCATAATTTTTGTCTGCTCGAACGCTCCGCTCCATCTTAGTGCTTTGGATTTTCGCCTCTGTATTATCTAGGAAATTTGGACCCGACAATATGGCCGACACCACAGAACAATCGCCAGCTACGGGTATGCAAACTGCGGGTGCATTTTGGAGCACTGAAAGAAAATAGCTGCTAATCATATTCCTGTGCTAGATGCCACCTCCAATGCTTCCGAAATCGTTGAGAAGGGAGCTGCCGGCGAGGTCGAGGTCGAGGTCGAGGTCGCAACAAATAGCGAAGAGGGAGCAGAGGCAGATGGAGGGGATCAAAATACCGAGAGTAAGTCGGGTGCAGTCTGGTGCTTGAGCTCTGCGGGGCTTGATGTGCACCTTGGGTCATTTTGTGCTAACTTTATCCATAAGCTATCTTCCAATTGACAGTGCATCTGCCATACGACCCCAAGGAAATTCAGATTATGGTATGGCCATCCCAAGCTCCCTTTTCAGCAACACTTCTAACAGACACAGGTATCCAACCAAGAATCGATCCATGACGTACGGCAATCGGTTATCGAACTCCCTGGCACCTTCCAATACTCCTGCTTCCATCTAGAACACGAGGGAAAGAGAGTCAACGACTTTTTACAGATATCCGAAGTCAGCGATCTGACGGAAAAGCCCCACCTTACCTTGGTTCAAGACCCATATACGGAAAAGGAAGCCAGACTCCATGTTGTTAGAATTCGAGAGATCATTGGAGCTGCAGGAAACCGAACAGATACTCTTACTGGTATAACATCGGGTTCTTCGCTTTTTGACTCGGTCAATTCAGCAGCACAAGCTTCCAGCGCTGCGGCTTCACCTGAAGACTCTGGAGTTGCAGAATACGACTTTTCAAGCCAGGGCTCCATAAATACGCTCCTCCCAAAAGCTCAAGAGGCACCTCCCAAGACCGTCAAGTCCATTTCAGTATCGCCCTGGAACCCTCCTCCATACCATCTTCGACAGAAAGGCCACCTCATTTATCTTTTGCTTACCACCAACGAGGGTGAGCAATTCAACATCACTTCACACGTCTCTGGATTTTATGTGAACAAGTCTTCAAATGGCAAATTCGATCCTATGCCGCGCCCCGCACCAAAGGCTGCGTCCGCGCATTCGCTGTTAACATTAATCAGTGAATTGTCCCCATCTTTTGACACTTCTTTTAAATCACTGCTAGAAGTTTCCAACACCAGAGAGCCTTTAGCTACCTTCCAAATTACCAATGCCACGCCTTCGAGTCCTTGGATAGTGCCCAGCACAGCCTCGCCACTTGTTACTCACCAATCTGATATCACCCGTACTCAGGAGAGTTTTCTTATCTCTGGCATTGAAAACACCGACACGTTGCGTGACTGGAACGAAGAATTCCAATCAACACGAGAATTGCCAAAAGAGAATGTACACGACCGTGTCTTCCGTGAGCGCCTGACATCCAAGCTTTTTGCTGACTACAACGATACTGCTGCTAGGGGTGCTATACTTGTTGCGCGGGGCGAGGTCGCACCATTAAACCCCACCGAAGACAGAGATGCTCAAATCTTCGTGTACAACAATGTGTTCTTTTCCTTCGGCGCCGATGGTGTTGGTACATTTGCATCAGAAGGTGGGGATGAGGCCGCACGAGTCGCTACTGGTAAGGATGTTATGGGTGTTCGTATGGTCAATCAATTGGATATTGATGGACTTTTCACTCCTGGCACCGTGGTGGTTGACTATTTGGGCAAGCGTCTTGTTGGCCAAAGCATCGTTCCGGGAATCTTCAAACAGCGTGACCCAGGAGAGAACCAAATCGATTACGGTGCAGTGGACGGAAAAGATGTTGTTGCAGACAATGAGAAATTCGCTGTCCCGTTTGCGAAGCTGTCCCAGGCCTTGAAAGTCAAGAAGCACGCTGTTTGGGACAAAGATGGAAAGCGTCATGAACTGGAAGGTAGCGTAGAAACCAAGGGACTTCTTGGTACCGATGGACGTAAGTATGTATTGGACTTGTACAGAGTCACGCCACTCGACATATCGTGGATGGAAGAATTTGGTACCGCAATCGGTGGCTCAGAATCCAAAGAGGTCGCAAGTGAAAGCGCGTATCCTCACAGAATGACTGTATTGAGACCCGAGCTTATTGAGAACTATTGGAAGATCAAGATGCGGGAATGGGTTAACGCCGAGTTAGCTTCAAGGAGACAGAAGGATGGCTCAGACGAAGTCAAGGCGGTAGATGATAAACCAGCCGACGAATCTAACCCCGAATCAGAGGAGCCTGCCGCCGACGCTAAAGAGGGAGAAGAAACAGCTGTTGAGGCCAAACCCGCTGAAGATAAGGATAGAATCGATGTTGGTGACTTCAAATTTACTTTCAACCCTGATGCATTCAGTGGCCAGGTTCCTCAAACAGACGCCGAAAAGAAGGAGATGGAGCAAGATGAGGAAGATGTCAGACTGGCATGTAAGTTTCTTCGTGATACCGCTATCCCCGAACTTATCAACGATTTGAAAGAGGGCGATGTAGGATATCCTATGGATGGTCAGTCATTCACTCGATTACTACACAAGCGTGGTATCAACGTTAGGTACCTTGGCAAAATCGCACAACTGGCAGAAGGCAAGAAACTTGAGTCTGTGCGAAATCTTGCAGTTCAGGAAATGGTATCCCGAGCATTCAAGCATATCGCTGGCAAATATCTTAGATACTTGCCAATTCCGCTCACCAGCTCGTGCATCGCTCATTTGCTTAATTGTCTCCTCGGAACAGGTCTCAATGAGAAGCCAAAGGCTGAAGTTGATGCAAGCCTTGCTTCCTTGTACAAAGAAGCGGACTTGTCGTTCAAGATGGTTACCCCAGAAAGCCTGAAGAAAGAAATTGAGAACCAAATCCTTCGCCGCTTTCAATTTACTGTTGAAGCCACATGGTCTTCCAATATCAAGCACCTTCAACTGCTTCGAGAGGTTTCTTTAAAGCTTGGCTTGCAACTCGAGGGGAAAAGTTATCGTTTCTCTTCCGAACAGAAAGTTGACGAACAGGCTGCACTTTCAGCTACAAACGGTTCCTCAGTGCCAGAAGAGAATGGCATTAACGGACATAGCACAAGCAGCAAGAAGAAGAAGAAGAACCGTGATACATCCGCTGTGATTCCTCAAGTGGCGGTTATTCCACACACCTTTGTGCCCGATGACATTCTCAACGTTGTGCCAATTATCAAAGAAGCATCGCCAAGAAGTTCATTGGCAGAAGAAGCGCTTGAGGCCGGTCGGATCTCGATCTTACAAGGTCAAAAGAAGCTTGGCCAAGAGTTATTATTGGAGTCGCTATCTTTGCACGAACAGATCTATGGTATCATTCACCCCGAGGTTGCTCGAGTGTACAACACATTGTCAATGTTATACTACCAACTAGACGAAAAGGAGGCAGCTGTCGAGCTTGCACGCAAAGCTGTAATTGTCTCGGAGAGAACTCTTGGTGTTGATAATGCCGAGACTCTTTTGAGCTACCTCAACCTTGGATTATTCTGTCACGGGCTAGGAGACTCCAAGCTTGCTCTCAGTTACGTCAGACACGCTTTGGAGCTTTGGAAGGTCGTTTATGGCCCTCACCACCCAGATTCTATTACGACACTCAACAATGCCTCTGTCATGCTACAGCATCTGAAGGATTACCACCAATCCCGCCTTTGGTTCGAAGCAACACTCAAGGTATGTGAGGAAATATATGGCAAAACCTCGGTCAATGCAGCCACGCTTCTATTCCAACTTGCCCAAGCTTTGGCACTGGATCAGGAACCAAAGGGTGCGGTCAATTGCATGCGCGAGTCCTACAATATCTTCAAGACAGAACTTGGTGCCGAAGACAAGAATACCAAAGAGGCCGAAAGCTGGCTCGAGCAGTTGACCCTAAATGCTGTCTCCATCGCTAAACATGCCAAGGATGTTGCGAGCCGTCGCATTCGTGTTGGCATGAGACCAACCATTGGACAAACTCGTCCTCAACCTCAAGTAGGCCAAACCCCGGCAGCAGCATCAGGAGCAGAGCCAGCGAGACGTCTCGATTCTCGAACCATCGAAGAACTCGTTAAATTTATCGAGGGTACCGACCAGCAAGCCAAAGCTAAGAAGCGACAAGGTCGAAGTAACCCAAAACGACGTGGCGGATCTACCGTTGCCGCATAAACCACTCTTCTCGACCTTCATTGTATAATATTCTGGGCATTAGGGAGGATTGAATTAGATCTACGACGGTAGTGATAAATGGATGATTACACGAAGGCTGGCAGCATTTCACAGGCGTATAAAAATCAATGAGGCACTCAGCTCAAACACCCAGGATCATAATTGTGGGGCATCTTCTGGTGCTGAAAATTTTCCTATGGTGCACATGGCATTTTCTCCCTCTAAAATAGTTTGATTTTAGTGTCGCATTTGCTGGTGTTCGGGGTTTGTATTTGCGGTAGAGTAAATGGACAGAACGGTGGATATCTGATTGTTTTATTCGGAAAAATCAACATGTTCTCTTCTTTTTACTCGCTATCAAAGGCGTTGTCAGGTGGTATCTTATGCAATTTGTATTTACGCTTTTGCATAGGAGATAGCTGCCTTTGTAATATAGGAAATGAATGGTGGGCGATGAGGTTCGTTGGGACGGACTTGTAGAATAGTGAAGACAATCTTCCCTCATTTCTTCTGCTATTGTGATTTTTGTGAGTTGTTTGGAGTTTGAATGCCCTGTTTACTAATTTTTTGGGAATATTTTGAACATACAGAACATCTTGCGACTTTTTCTATGGGTTCTACTCTTATGATATATGGGTCGTGAGAATAGGATGGCAGTGTGACCCATCTGGGGACTTATGATATACCAAAATGCGGACCCTACAGCGCTATGTACTTTTGTGAACAAGACAGTAAAGGTAGCACATGACTGAAGAAAATCAGGCTCATGAAGTAAAACTTCAGCGAACAGAAAAGTCAGAGGAATCAACGCGTCGTGGCGCTTCCGAATTTTGTTTAAGAGGGGTCATAGGGCAGGTGCATAAGAGGATAATAGACGAGATCAGCGATTGGCATAGTCTTTTGCTGTCAAATATCTTATGACCCCTAAATCCTAAGTGTAGAGAGATCCTCCATATTCTCCCCCAAATATCTGTTCCGCATTCCATGTGTAGCCCCAGAATTGAAGTCCTGGCTTCAGCACCAGCTCGCGCAATGGGTAGAAGAGATTCTCTTGAGTCCCACACAACAGTTTTGTAAATTCAAAAACCCTACTCCTAATCGTGTCCGGATCTAGATTTTGTTGATTACGGTCCTGTTTTATCCATTTTCTGTAGTTCCCAAGGGTGTAGATATCCAGAAAGCAAGACGGAAGTATGCTTGACGGTGACGACAGATTTTCCCAAGTTATCCAGTTTACAAACCCAACTGTGGGGATCTCACCGAACGAGATGTACTCGTCGCAATTTCGCGCCCATTCGGCAAGTTCCTCTGTTATGATGTAGTCCTTGCGTTCTGCTATGAGGAAATCAAGGATGTCTTCAACCCGGAAGATTGCGATGTTCGGGTCCTGCTGTAATATCTTGAAGTAGAATATAGCGAGTCCAACTTCCTCATCAGGATCTTTTTCCTGCCATCTTTGTCCCGTGGCGTGGAATGCCCATTCCAGTTGCGGGCTCATAGACACGAAATGGGTGACTATTTTCTCCTCAAGTTGCCTCTCCAAATTGAACTTGTTCAAGTGTACAGCCAATCGTTGGGCGAGATCATCAGTAGAGGTTGTGCACCTGAATCTTTGATCAAACTCGAGATTTATTTCTGGAGTGAACACAGGCTGGCCTCCACCAATTCTTTTGTGCGCGCGGAATAGAAAGTGGGGATCGGAGCGCTTCGCTTTCGTGGTTTCTAATACTAGAACTATCAGCTCTGTTCCCCGAAGAATAGGTAGCTAAGCCACCATTTATCCCACGCAAGTACATTGTTCACTCTTTTCATTGTACGGCAAAGATTTGGATTATCTCCTCGCTCAATGATATCCGATAATACAGATTCGCATGCCCTAGTCAAACCAGAAAGCGTATCTATCGCAGTATGCAAATCTTCGTGGGTGTTCGTGCATGGTGCCTTCGAAAGTTCACTCTGAACTAAATGACCGAATACTCGTGGTAAGTCTGCCATATTTGAATTGGGAATAATTCTTGGTCAGTAGTATAGTTCTATTTCGCAGCTTTGTGATGAGAATATGTTCGTTTTCTAGCGGACGCCGTGCTACACTCCATCAGTGACGAAGGCGGGAGGCTTGCCCAATAGGATATTGCCACCCTGTATTGCATACTGATCATATATATATAAATGTTACATTTGGGTATTCGTTCAACAAACCTTTCGAGCCAACCAGTAATTGGTTCCCAATGTTTCACAACGCAAGGCTTCACCTTTCGACGTGCATTCTTGGCTACACGAACAACCAGATCTTTTATTATTGCCCCAAAGAGCTCACGTAGTTGTTTCTGTACTCTTTCCATACTCCCAAATCGCCATTTTTGAATGTACTCTACCCTACCACCTACAGTAACGCAGGAAGGAACGAAAGACTACTGCAAATTTGAGTGTGCTCATCTCCAAACACATCTGCACTCAAATTTCGTTCCATTATGTAAATGCCATATACGAAGCGGGAAAGATCATGAAATTGCTGCTCTAAGGACCGCATTGGGCGTCTATTTCTGTGCTGTTCTAACTTTTTGGCTGCTGTAAAATCTTAACCTGAAAGCGGGAGCAGTCGCAGACGGACGAGCAGTGAACAACACATAAATTTCTTCCCTTGCTATAAAGACCCACATACACTTCCTTGGAAGCTTTTCATATGTACAAAGCGGTTAAGACCCAATGCTCGTAGTACCGCTCTGCTGTGGGTTGGTTAATGGGAGAAGAACATTTTCAATCTTCTGATATGGTTTATTGAGTAATCTCTTCAGCATCAAGAACTAAATGCACTTTGAGAATATTGGAACAACGAATCACTTTGCTTTCGTTGTTTTTTGGCTGAAAATACAAGAGTGGATCAAGACCTGAAACGTGATTACCACGAATGAATATCAGCGTCATTGCTTTCTACCAACTACACAAATCACACATCTGCTGCACCTTTACCGCTGTATTGTAAAGGTATTCCTCTAATCCTAAAGCTCCGCAGTTTCATAGTCACATTATGGTTATTTCATAGATTAAGTGAGTCCTAATAGATCGTATCTTGCCTTTCTGGAGTACAGCCAAGCTCGGCATCGAGGCTATAATCATCGCAGAAATCTACCTTCAAATACCTTTTTTCCGACTCACAGTTCCCTTTATAGCTCTCTTGTTGATAATTCATTTTCCGTGGCATTTTCTTGGCTCTCTATTGTTATACATCGCATCAAAGACAATGAATCGATGCAGACTTGAATCCCAAAGGCCACAGCTGCCATCCAAAAACTGACTCCACCATTCCATGCTAAAGGGCCAGACTTGACAAAGTGCATGCTAATCCCGGGTACGAAAAGAACGGGTGACACGACATTTACCAAAGCGATATATTTCGGGAAGATTGGCTTTTCTCGATGGTCAACCAGGACTGCGTAGGAGAAAGCGAAATTCTGAATGAGAAATGTTGGCCATGGTATAAGAGCGATGATGAAAAACAGATCGCTTAGAACTTGGGTGATTTCGGGGTTGCGGTCGAGGCGGTATGTGATGACGGCAAGAATCATTGGTGGTATAAGAAAGGTAAATATACCCGCTGCACCTGCAGCCAATTGCAGAGAGTGGACCGAAGAGTGAAGATTGGGAATTCGTCTAATCTGTCCGGATATGACCGCCGTAAATGGTAGATAAAACATCCCAGAGAGCATCAAGAAGATGACAGCGACCTTTACCCCTGTTTTGTGGTCTCTGTAGTGCTTGGTGGTTTGCTCTGCAGTCAAACTTGGTCTGATTGGAGGGAGGAATCCTGCGGATGCTAGGCCGCACAGGAAAAGAACGAGACACCCAATGCCAGAAGCAGCGCAGGCGTATTGAAAGTATTTTGCAGCGAGGTATTTGGATTTCCCAAGTCTAGCAACACTACCACTGGCTGAATTGAAAGTTGTCATATTCAGAATGTCTGGGGATTGGTATTGAAGGCGTGAAACCCTGGGGGTAGAAGTTTAGATATTCCGTTGTGAGCAAAATTTATATAGGTCGAGGACTCTTTGCCAAAAGAAGTTCGTGGCGAGGCAAAATGGATGAATGAGAGGATACGTTGACCTGCTTTCAACTAGAGCGAATGAAATGGATATAAGGGTTTTCGGGGTTGAGAGCTGACTTCAAATATACACCCCTCTCGAGAAGGTTTTTCTACTGTAGTAGTAACACCTTCATTCGATATGCAATTTCTTCAGGTTCCACATGTGCATCTCCAGATATAGAGTATTTCAAAGCGAGGCTCGTGACGAAACCATGGCTTAAGCGAGTGCACGTGCTAAGCAGACGTTAAATGAAAAGGGGCAACGAAGAAATATCTTTTCATTACTAGAAAGAGTGTGCTGCATCCTGAAACTATGCCAAAATAAGGCAATTAGTGTTATGCCAACTCATGTACCTCCTTTAGGGTCTGGTGGATTCTAGACTTGAAGATCGCAGGTGGGGAGAATTGCACAGAGTGACACCACGGGTTAAATTGGAGTAACCATTCGATCAGGCACCCCTATATATCTGACCACATTGAAAGTATCACATTCTACCTACTATCATGACATGATATAATGTATTGATCTGTCATAGGAAACATCCATATATCCCTCGCGTTGAGTCCGGGATCCTGGGTCCAGCCTTATAGAAAATTGGTGGGCCAGGTGCAGTCTCTACAGATAGTCAGACAAGGGTTAAAGTGGTTTGATGGTAGAGGTGGCACGGATACTAGAGAGTAATCACGTGGGTGCTTGATCGCTAAGGACTTTTGAGAGTCACGCCTCGCTTAAGAGTCAAATTTGTTTCTTGAGCCTTACGCTAGGATTTGAGGCTCAAAAACCGCGTGACATCACAAGTCTCCGGCGCGGCCGCGAAGTAGCCGGGCGCCTGTATCAGCAGCGACCCCGCTACGTGCACGTTACCATTACACAGTGGCGCACCGCGCGGGATCGCGCGCCCGCCAGATTTCGCTGAATCGATCGAATCTGTAACTTATAATTTTGTTGCGTTGGTGAGCATCGCATGCGCGCAATACCGAGTGCAAAAAGCACCCCTGCAAGTAGTGACGTAGTATCGTAAAGTTTCCCCGACTACCGTGCACTCTCTTCTAAGGCCAAAAGGCCCTTAATTATTAAGGAATTACTAAGAGCCAAGGGGGTTGGTAGCCAATTGTTGTTTGAGAGCCAAGCTCGCTTGAGAGCTTACGCTTTTTAATAGTCAAAAAGCTTGGCTATCACCTGAGCGCCAAAAGGAGTTTAGCTACCACACGATAATTAAATTTGATTGGTCATCTGTTGAACATCTGTAGAGACTGCACCTGGCCCACCAGTTTTCTATAAGGAGTCCTTGGTATAGGTCACGTGAAAAGAGCGTGACACGAGGTGCGCTGATTCCTGTGTCAGGGAGAGGGAGATGAAAGAGAGTCATATTTCAAAATTCTTAAGAAATGTTTTGGTGTCTACCTGAAACTCACTTTTTAGTTTTCCTTGATCCAAATTGCACGAGTGGCGAGTAAAGCTTGCCGCACAACGACATCTAAAGGCATAGGCCTGCCCAACCGGGAGGAGCAGCGCAAACCACGGACGCGATATATTCTAACCCCTGCAGGCCCTTCCCTTACCACAAATCCCGAATCGTGGACCCCCTCAAGGTATCTCAGTAGCTTATAGCTGAAAGTGTCTTGACGAGGCGAGAAGCCCTACCAATCTAACGCAAGAAATCTAAACAGACGTCAACTTATCTGAACCTTCTTCACAAACATGCTCTACCTGGTACTTCAAGCCCCTGTGCATCCGCTCCAAACATCCCGCCTTACAATTCTACTACCAACACTTCCAACACTACCATCAAACTGCCAGTACAATGCTGGATCAAGGATCTGTGGATATCAATACCGATTGCTATCCGGTGTCCTAACCAGAGCGGCCTTCAGTAGTGGTAACCAAGTATAAGAGCAAAGATGTTTACGTACTGCATAGAGATACATTAGACGCTGTTTCGCCAATCTATTCTTTAAACAATTTTTGTTTCTTACTTCAAATCCCACTGGATAATATGGCACCTAGGCCAATAGACACACAGTAGTTTGTTTCCAGGCCATATGAGATTTGGAAGCGAGCGAGGGCATTTTCGTGGCTCTGCTGGGGAATTTGTTTGTCCTGGAACTCCTATTACCTCCACGAGCGAGGATAGCATGATGACGAAATTGAGGTCTTTTGAAGATATTAAATGTAAATTCCACGGCCTTTTGGTTCTGGGAGGTGAAGCTCCCTATGGAGCAGAACCAACCATAAGGTCGTATTACATCGCCATCAAACTCCAACACCAACCAACACCATGCAAACCTGATCTATTTCAAGTTCACGCAGAGTCCTCAGCACTGAAACCTTCTCCAAACTTCAGGTATTCTGTCCTACCTTCAATTAGTACCCTGACTATCTAACCCATACCATCAGAGCATTATGGCAAAAATATTTTATCCATACAATAGCGTACCGGAATACTATCCTGGAAAGAAGGAGACGCTTACCAACATTGTTGACTTCACGGCCCGTAGATCTCCGCAAGCTCTCTACGCCGAGTATCTCATCTCACCAACCTCATATGAAGTTGGTTATCACAAGATAAACTATGAGACTTTGGCAAATGCTGTCAATGGATTTGCTTGGTATCTTCATGGTACTCTAGGGCCTGGCGAGAACTTCCCAACTCTGGCATATATTGGCCCCAATGATATGAGATACAATGCATTTGTCTCGGGTGCCGTGAAAGCAGGGTATAAGGTACGTATCGGTTTATGTAGCAATGCCTCAACCAATTTCAATTTTGCAAGGATGACCGTAATTGACAACTGGAAAAAGATGTTCTACTCCTCTCCTCGCAACAGCGTCACAGCTCATGCCCACCTCCTTGACGCCGTTGCCTGTAAAACCATCTTGGTTCCAGACCCACAACCCCCAATGATCCCCTCGATTCTGGCCGTATTTCCAATGAAGGTCATAAAAGCACCCACCATCGATGAACTGATCAATAAAACCTATCCGCAATATTTATATGAAAAGTCCTTTGAGCAGGCCAAATTTGATCCCTTGATTGTTTTTCACACCTCGGGGTCAACCGGCGTTCCAAAACCGGTAACATGGAATCATGACTACGCAGCTTCTTATTTCACTATGATCCAACTTGACCCTCCATCTGGATACGAGAGTAATGACAGACTTGTTCAAGCCAATAGAGTGTTTTTATGCTCCCTCCATTTCATGCAAGTCTTCCCTAATCGTCTAATTAGCTTTCATTTGCTTACTTCCCTTAAGGGTGCAAATCATTTGATTACACTCTGCGCTGCTATAGCGACCAGAACTGCTTGGATTTACCCATTGGCATCGGCCATTCCTTCGGTGAAGGTTTTGGCGGATGGTCTCAGGCAGACCACTGCGGATGCTGCCCTCATCGCCCCGCCAACTGCCGTGGATCTCGCTAAAGATCCAGAATTGCTTGAATTCGTTTCTTCTCGCCTGGACACGATGATTTTCGCCGGGGGTGATTTGCCTCAACCTTTTGGGGAAGCCATATCAAAAAAGATGAGGCTCGTGGATGTATATGGAGCCTCCGAGGTTGGAAATCTGCCTTCCCTCCGTCCTGTAGGCGACTACATTCGTGGGGATTGGCACTACACCCATTTTCATCCAGACATTGGGTTGGAATTCCGCCATTTAAGCGATAATCTTTACGAGATGTGGGTGGTGCGCGACCAAGCTATTGAGGAACAACAGCCGATCTTTAAACTATTCCCACAATTAACTGAGTATTCCACCTGTGATATTTACTCACCTCATCCGACAAAACAAAACCTTTGGGCTTATGGTGGTAGAAGTGACGATATCATAGTATTCCTTACTGGCGAGAAGACGAACCCTACTACTATGGAGCACACTATTACCAGTCACTCAGAAGTTAAATCCGTTCTAGTCACCGGAGCACAAAAGTTCCAAGCCGCCTTGCTCATTGAGTTGATCGACGAAAAAGAGCTTGGGCATTCAGAGCGTGCAGCAGTTATCGAGAGAATCTGGCCAAAGGTTCAAGAAGCAAACCAGCATTGCCCTACTCACGCAAAAATTGCGAAGACACATATACTTTTTGCTGGATCCAAAGAGACCAATGGGAAGAGCTGGCAAAAGCACGGTATGTAAAGTTATGTTCAATGCTTGCTGATGAAACGGAGTTAATTGCTCTTAATCACGTCCGGAGTATTTCACATCATCCACAGTTCTCTGCTAATTCTTTCCAGATCCAACGGCCTTTAACGGTCGCCATGTACGCTTCGGAACTCGAATCCTTATATGCCGATGCCGAAAAGTTGAAGCCGTTGTCGATGAACCCCGATGTGAAACCAACAGAGGGCCCATTATCGCTTGATAGTGTCAGTGCTGTCCTGCAAAATCTGGTAAAATCGCAGACAGGGTGGGAAAAGATTAGCCATGTAGACAATTTCTATGTTGTAGGCATGGATTCCTTGCAAACTCTACTTCTCACGAGAGACATGAAACAAGTCTTTCAACTTCCCGATATTGCACCAAGCACTGTATACACCAACCCATCTATTGAGCAACTTTCTCAAGCTATTTTGAATATCTCTCAACAGATTAAATAATCCGAGGAGGAGGCCGAGAGGAATCGAAAGCTTGCTATTAGCAAATTTCTTCAACTGAAAATTAGTTTTGTCGACGAAATAGCAGCTTCAAACACATCAAGTACATCGCATTCAGGAGCTAGCAATGGGCAAATCGTCATACTCACTGGATCCACCGGAAGCTTAGGATCATATCTGCTGCTCGCGCTCCTCAATAATCCCTCTGTCTCTCATATACACTGCCTCAACAGGAGCCTAGATTCTTATCAGTTGCAAGTCGAGCGTAATGAATCTCGCGGGCTACAAACCTTCACCAATTTCTCCCCTGGCAGAGTATCTTTCCACACAATCAATTCCGCACAAGAAAATTTCGGCTTGGACACCGAGATCTATAGCCAACTACTTAAGACAACTACTAAGATTATCCTCAATGGCTGGTCTGTCAACTTCAACGTTCCTCTTTCCTCGTTCGAACAGCAAATTGACAGCGTGATTAACTTCGTCAAATTCTCCAATCAGTCTTCCACTCGTCCAACAATATTCTTCATCTCTTCCATAAGTTCAGTACGAGGCATCTCCAATCCCGAGAGCAAAATACCAGAGAGAGTCATCAATGATGATGATCACTCGGCACCTACAAAGATGGGTTACGGCGAGAGCAAATACATTGCCAACAGACTCCTCGACTATGCAGTTGAGAAGTTGCACATCGATCTCGCATTGCTCGGGTTGGACAAATCGCTGGTCCGGCTATCATGCCAGGCCAGTGGAACAAACGTGAGTGGTTCCCCAGTCTTGTAATTAGTTCCAGGTATATTGGTGCTTTGCCTGACTCTCTTGGCAGCGAGTTCAATATTGTGGATTGGTTGCCTATTGACTTTCTCGCGGATATCATTGTGGATCTGACGCTCGAAATGCTCCGGGTATTGAAGGAAAAGCGAGTGTTTTCCACCCACATAATCCTAACACGACCACGTGGAAAAGGATCATTCCTGAAATCATGAAGAATACGGGTCCGCTTGAACTTGTGCCATTGAAAGAGTGGCTGAAAAGGGTCGCTGAAAATGCTACAAGGGGTGGATTGGAGGTTGAGAAAACTGTACAGCTCAATCCTGCGGTGAAGTTACTTGATACCTACGAGAGCTTCTCGGATCAGGTAAATCTTCCTGAGTTTGAGATGGAGAAGACTCTTGAGAGTAGCGAGAAGTTGAGAGGTGCCGAACCGATCAAGCCAGAGTGGATTGAAAAGTGGTGTAAGGGGTGTTTGGTATAGTTTTCACTTTGGAGACTGGTGCCAGATATCGAGTTGTGGACGCCTTGGTTCGAGAAAAAATTAGATGTCTCAACACTTTACTATCTTACCATTTCATCTCATTTGCTTTAACTTGGGAATCTTTTTCTTCAAATACTTATTGTTCACTTCATTTTATCACAACGGTTATCTTCGAGTGTCCGAGTGAAAAAGCTGCTTTTACATCGAGGGTGCGGTACGCCCCCTCTCCCCCCTCCTCCCACCTGGCTAATCCTCTAGGTGCACGGGGCACGAAAATTCCGGGCAGGTGATGGAACTTCTGGATCTCAGCTAAATACCCGAATTCTCTGTTCACTATTTGGATTTTCTGTCCCTCGTTGCCGAGGACAGAGTAACAGCCGGTACACGCGTAGAGGGATAACGTACCGACCATTACTTCTGATTTCTCAGCTAATTCGGGGCAGTATTCTGTGCTTGGCTTCAGGTCTAGAAGCTTTGGGAGAAATGCCTTGAGGGCGATGAGTGTTTCGACATATGTCCTCCGTGTACAGTTGAATGATTTCGCGGCATCGCTGAGTTGATCATTCTCGGATAAAAAATACATTTTACCTACCTTCGTGGGGATCCTGTCTAGCGCGGAGGCTAAGCCTCTATTTTCTGTTGAGATGACTGGCTTCGACATTATGGTGTGTGTGGGTGATAGACGGTAAATTGATAAGTTTCGGTTATTTTCAGTTATTTTCACCTATATACTTTCTCAAAATTAAGAGTTAGGTGTGGGAATTCATGGGCCTATTACCGTATGAAGTTGCTTGTAGAACGCGCAACAAGGCAGATTCTCTCGTCCTGAAATTTCCTCCAAAGAAAGCTATTCATATCTTGGACAAAGAGTGAGTAACCTATCATAGGAAAATATCTAGAAGAGTTACAATATCCTCTATCTTCACTTCCTACATTCTCCTGTTTCCCAGTAACTCGGTATCAAATTGAATTTCTCCCTTATTGTCCGAGTAAAATTTTATGCTACAGAGGTCTTCTCATCCAGTTCACTACTACGACTCTACCTACTGTCGACTGTTTCATATTCAACCAGTTCAGTATACTGAAATTTCGACAGGTCCAAGTGTCCACAGTGCACGTTCCTACAATCCTTTTTCAGTACCCAAGGCCAAAAATACCTCTTCACAGACTCTCTTCTAATCTCCAAGTATCCAGTTTCACGGGTTGTGTTACTAACATGTTGTAATCAGCAACGAATCTCTCGTCATGAATCTCGTCCCATGCTCCGCCAGCGACAGCTCTCGTCACGTTTAGCACTTAATCAATAAACTGTGTCCACTCCCAGTCTTTATTATATATCTCATCCGAATTTTACCGAGGGGCGACGAAACCATCATAGTCGACAAAGTCGAAAGTTCGGAAGATCCAGGTGCGCTCGATCTTTCTTCTCTAGTCAGCGTATCATGATTATACTCCGAATCCTGACTGTATTCAACTCGTTTCTCTGAATACTCCTTGACTAAGGCTCCCAGATCAACCTTCAAAGCTTCTCCAATAAAAATATTATCCTTTTTATACTCTTTATAGAGCCCAAAAAGTATAAAAGTATCCCCAGCTGTGTACTCCTTTGCCGTGCTTGGAAGTGGGTCGTCCTCGAGTATTTCATATCCATATTGTTGGAAAAACTCCCGGCCTTTTCGTTTATTATAAAGCCATTCTTGGCATGTCGTGTGGGATAAAAACTTGTGCCCACGATTACTCACACACTCCTTGAGACTTGCCAAACCAGATCGCATTCTCTCAAGCCCATATCGTGCTGCTACTTCCATGAGTTGCACATCGATCACATGCCCGAGGCGGATTTCGTAAATCCCGAAAAGGGCATCGGAATCCGAGCGAACGTCGAACCAAAGTTGTTGGATCTCGGGGTCTTCGAGGATTGAACGCAGTATTTTTCCAGAGGATTCATCTGCTATGTCGAAGAAATTCAGAGGAAGTTTAGTGTGGCAAAGAACCCACGTGTGGTCCAGGGACTGTACGGAAATGGTCAGATGCGTTACGTTTCCTCTTCTTGAGAGCCCTCGGGATGCTACACAGTCCAAAGCTAGTTCAATAACGTTCCTCTTGATTTCATGGAGGTAAGTCAGGAATTTCTTGTAATCTTCTTCGCTCTCAACCCAGGTCACGCTACCTTTTACCAGCTCGCCTTTGAAATAACCTATGATATTGTCAATATAATCGTTTATCTAGATCCATTGTTTAGAAAGTCTACCGTTGACTTCTGTTGGCACCACTGGCTCTGGAGGGATGTAGTAATGAAGAAGAGCTATAACTTTGTCGTCATTTCGTACTTGGACAACACTTCCTGTGCCTTGGAACATCTGATATACCAGCGCTCTCGCGATACTAGTGGCATTTTTGTGTCGGCAGAAGAAACTACTGACCTTATAGTGTGCTGGTGCGGATATGTGAATGTTGTTGACATTTCCCAGCGGCGGGGTCTCAATCACTTTACCTACAGTCGGAAAGTCGACGTAGATATCTCGCAACGATTTTCTGACTCTTCCAAATTGACCGTGTTGAAGAGTTCTCGGTACCGGTAGGATGATCGTTTGTCGTTCAAGCTGATCAAAAGTCAGTTCTGTTTTGATTATAAAAGTTTATCCTTGGGGAAAGGAGGCTCGCGTAGGATTAGGTGTTACTTACAGCCAAAAATTCTTCTCTCGAAAGACCAACTTCTTTCCACCCTTCTTGGAAGTAAGTGCCGTCTCGCGGAGCCTTCTGGCCTAATTGCTCTGCCAGTAGAAACCATGTTAGATTCTGGCCTTGGGTGTTGTGGTAGACTGGCTTTGGGTTACTCACAGGAATCCATTCATCACCAGGTGCAATGTCCCCAGGATTTGAATTTGTCTCGTACTCGTAATCATCGTCTGCTGAAGGTATATTCTCAAACTCAATGTCGCCTGGTACATCGTTCCATTCGTTGGAATCCGCCTCGTAGTCATAACCGTCTTCTAAGATGGATACAATCTCGGTTCCTTGATCATCATGATCTTCTTGCCTGCTGAGGGTGCTCGAGGGCTCGTTCGTCGTACCTTCTGACTCGCTTATTTGGTATACGTCTAATTTGTTTGCAATTTCGTAGAAACATCCCTCTTCTAAGCCTTTTTCCTCCTTGGGTTCTCGGTTCTTTGGCTCAGGAATGACTGTAGACCAGGAGTCGTCTATCGACATTGTTGTATAGAGGCTATTGTACAGTAATCAACACAAAATTGGTTGGCAATCGTGGTTTTCGGTTCTCAGCTTAGGAGGGGAATGTGGCTGAGGACTTTTGGTGTTTCTGATATATTATTGATGGTTGCAAAAGTTGACCGGCAGACAGAACAAAGGCTGGTTTTGTTCAGTTCTGTAAGTAATGGGTCCGCCCCCCAAGCCAGTCACATTTGTGAAGATATGAAGTGAATCCAAGAATGATGTTATATACTATGCTGTATAGCTCCTTCACTACCAGTTAGTACAATAGTGCTACTGAGAGTATCTGTGAATGTGTGCGGTGACTTCAGAGAGATATTGTTAGTTTACAGCACCGCTAATTTACAAATAAGACGACAAACATAGGAAAACTAAGGTATGTTTTCGTATGGTGGCTAGTCACAGAAAATAAGTCGTGATTATCTTTATGAAAACACTTAACGGAATTTATAGTGATGTTAAAATGGTATTCGGTATATCAATCTCAACAGAAGCTACAGTTGAATACAAAGGAAGATATTTAGGTCTGGTTATTCATGAATTCCATTCAGATGGCAAATTATTAATGACTGAAATGTAAAGAATAATATGCTAATGGTTGCGTTGCCTCCATTGCTCCACCACAACTGTTAGTGATGCTGATACTTCCTCATCCTTACAGTCCTCTGACCGTCAATTTTTTCCCTTGATACCAAGGCCACCTTTCTTCACAGCCTCAATCAGAACTTTCATCTTCTCCTGCATATCTAATTTGAGGGAAGCTGCAACAGATTGAGGTACGATCTCAGAAGCCTTCAAAGCAGCTGATCCTAACGTAATCAACTCTGTAACCGTCTCTGTGGGTACAGAGTCATCGCCGCCTCTCTCAAACCTACTTTGTGCCAGATAAATCCAGCGGCAATGGTCGAAGTAATGGTCAACTTTGCGGTTACCCCTAGTTGTGGATGGACCAGCAGCAATCTTTTCCAACACTTCTTCATCGATGACTGCTTGCATAAGAACCTGGTAATCTCGATTTAATGTTGGAGTTATGTTCTTGATGCTAGTAAAAACTTTTGGAGTACTCATATCTTCCAGAACTCTACCAAGCGACATGCGACTCTCGCTCCTACCATGATTATGGAAGGCGGCCGGGCCAAGCTTCTTGATGTCCACGACAAATGTCTGCTGCAAAGTTTTAATAAAGATCGCAAGCAACGTGATTCTGAATGCGCCTGAGCTACGTTCGGTGACGGCATGGCAAAAGAGATTGGATTCGCCGTTGCGTGGGAGGCTTCCGAGAACCCCAAGGAATTCGCTTAGCTTGTCAGCAGTGTCGACCAGTGCGTATACTGGGAAGATAGGATTTATCGGTGGATTGAAATCTCCCTTGGATGCAGGAGCAACATTGGCAATTGGCGCTGCGTCATGTGAAGGCTTTGGCGGATCTTGTGTTCCTGCCTTTGAAGTCTCCGCTGAGAGTAGAGCTACGTCCAGGCGCTTCTTCAGCTTAATAGAGGTACCGCATAACCCCAGCCACTTCTCAAGGTATTTGTAGTACTTGACGAGAACACCGGTTTTGCTGTTTGTGATGAGATTTGCCAAGGTCCATGGAAGCTTTGTGGTCTTCTCTTGAAATGTTCCTGCATAAGTCGTTTGGTTCCCTGTCATGAACAAGACCCGACGACTTTGAAAGCTGCATTCATTCTCTTTTTGAGCTCAAATGCATGACCAGGGTAAACAGATGTGACAAAGTCATAGACAGCTGGAATAGAACCCTTCGGCAGCTGGAATATTTCAAGGTTGAAATTCCCGCCATCGACAGAAAAGCCGTAGTTGTGATTGTAGGCAACTTTGTGTTGGGCAAGAAACAGGGGAGACGACTTCAATGCATGCTCAGATTGCGCAACTAGCTCAGTTGCCCTATGTACCGCCAATTTTTTCTGTTCCTCGGAGTTAGGTTGCTCTATTTGTGGAATGTTTGCTGCCAGTTTCGCGGTCTGACGACTTGGTGAAGGTTTGCTCTCAGAAGCTTGTGACTTGACAACTTCAATCCGTTAACTTTCGGTTCTCTTGGCAATACTTTCTGAATAGGAGATATCCTACCTTTGCCTTTGTCGTTCAAGGTATCGACTGTTTTATCCTTGGTGCTTTGGGATCTCTTCAACTTGTTGATATTGCCATTCTGCCCTCCACTGCGCGTACCAGTATTACTTTGACTCGGTCTGGATGGTGGGGCCGAAGTTTCGGTTTGTTGATGTGCCATTACGAATTTCGAGTTTGGGGCCAAGGTTCCTATGGCTGTATCCGCTGATCATGGGGGGTTGGTTGATTGCGAGTAGAATCGAAGAAGTGTTAGCAAGGCTTGAGTTGAGGTACAGGTCAAGTTTGCGCTTTGGCTTTGAGAGGGGCAGACACAATGTAAGTGGGGTAATTTGAATTTGGAGCTGAGTATCTTCGTTGAGAATAACCAAAAGGTCATTCACTAGAAGTAGGTTGTTTATGAGAAAGTATCACCTCTGGTCTCCTTCGCTTCTCTGGTGAATATAATCTATGACTCAAACTTTCAATTCAACCCTGCTACGATGCTCACCTAAGTCTCGTAAGCTTCAACATAAATAGACTGCCATCGTAAACAAAGCTTTGATAGGATGCACATGGAAATACCCAGAGTCACTTTCCTCCCTTTCACCTTTCCCTCCAAGACATAGTATGAGAGTCCAGGATAACTCTTTCTTAGTTGAGAGACTTTCTATTACCTTGTTATACAGTTAGGTTCTTGAATATACTTGACCACACGATTGTAGCTAGTGATGTAAAGTATATTTGAGCGCAATTATCAACACAACTGAGTAAACCACAAACAAGTTGGCGGTTTGGCTTTTTGACATCAGTATCTGATTAAGCAAAGAAGTTTAATGGACTGGAGTCAAACATAAGCGCAAAAGAACCATTGGTCAGACCATTAAAGTAGAAGTGAATAGCATAACAGTATATAAAGCAGTGAATGCTCTTTTATTATGTTCTTAAATAAATCTTTACAGCCCAGCTTCTCTAGTCTCCATAGTTGCCACTATAATTTGGGAGCTAGATATCCAAGGTTTAGTCCAGCTCAGCCTATATTGATTAGCTTATTCACACTTGACTTTTGTTGGAACAGGAACCATCGAGATCACGTGTACAATTGCAAGAGAAAGAGTTTAATACCTACGATTCATATCTGATACAGTTTCACGTAATCAGCTTTGTATTATAGCCACTATTTCTGGTGCTACATATTAGGTATAAACCGAAGGCCTTCCACTAGGTATTATGACAAAATGTAAACACGTGATCTTGACAGACACTTTCCCGCGCCGGAAGGGGGGAGGAAGCAACATCAAGAACCACCAATGACTGGAGTTGTTCTTGAAAAGACAGAGGTTTTGTGGGGCCGAAACTTGAAAAGCGGACGACTCTGCAGGCAAGAGGTCGACCCGAGACCTTGGAATCACCTCAAAAGCTTCAGTACTTTGAGACACCACATGCACCTGGGAAGGTACGGAACACTGTCGTCGTCGAGGTTGAGGCCACTCCTTCCCTCACTCAATCTAGGTTGGCGTGTCTCTCAACCGAGTCGACCCAAGCAGGTAGGTAGCGAGGTCACAAGAGATAGGGAGATGGGAGTTAAGGTCGATCGCTCCTTCCCTCTTACTCTCGCAATGCCTTCTGGTCGTCTTAATCTCAGACCTACTTGGACTCGCCACGCTGAAAGCTGAGAAGAGAAGGTACGACACTGTCTGTGCCCAAAAGTAGACCCTCTCTCTCTCTCCTCCTTCAAAACTGGTGGCGGTAGGTGGAATGGCTCGGTGAGAAACAGGACTCTGATTCTTGATGGAGAGAATAATCAACGTCAAGATTCAGCCCACGGCCCAATTTGATAAGGAATTTTTGACTAGGCTTTTGGATCAGGGGAAATCCGAAGAATCACAACGGCAAGACGTGTAAATAGAAACCGCCAAACGAGAAGGACGAGGCACCCGTCTTCTTATTAGAGCACCCCTTTTCATCAAATCCATCCTCTCATGCGCTCTCTTCCTTATATGTACATTCAGCTTCGGATATGTCACCAGTTTTCTGGTCGAGTTTCTGTAGAAATTTGTTGGCCTCATCTAGCAGATGCATGCAATTCATAGTTGCTTTCACCTATCCCTTTCCTACCAGGTCCATTGCGTATGTTTGGCGTTCCCTTCGCATGTTATTTCTGAGAATTGTTAGTAAAAACCAAGAATTTTCTGTTGCGTCTTCCTGACTCTTCCACGTGCTCAAAACATCCTCAACAGCTCTCAAGTCATCCAAAATGACTGAAGATTCTGTTCACGAAATCTGAATACTTGCTCCATCCCAAAAGTAGATAAAAAAGCAAAATAAGGGCCCGTAAGAGTCGCTAAAGAAGCGAGGCAAGCTGCTTAGGATGCAGAAGGGCTCGCAAAGCCCACGATCAAGGTAGAACCCAAATAAGGAGCTTTCCCGTCGGATCTACTTATATTATCAATAAGACGGCATCAAAGTAAGAGCTATCCTCTGGTCTATCTATCAATCTTGCCCATCTAGCTTACAAAATCTTCGGCACTTTGGAGATAGGAGTTCGCGTCAAAGACACGATCGTTCCACCCAAACCGTGCAATTGCTGGATGAGGGTTGAGACCTTAGTATTGAAACAATTTCTCTAGCAAGTCTTGAGGGTTTAAGAAGCCGACTTGGGACATCTGTTTTGCTAAGCTTCCTATCCCTACCTTTGCGATTTTCCACATGATTATCTCTCTTGGTCCAAACATAGTCTCAATCTCTATTAGCCTCAAGGATATTGAGGTTATCGATGAGACTGAAGTTCCAAATACTATTGGTGTAAGGACTACACTTTTAGATGATGCTAGGACGAAGTTTGAGTTTACTGGAAAACCTGGTAGTGGTGGTGGAAATTGAAAGTTGACCATGCAAAGCAATCATGTAACCATCAGCGTTCGGAATGATTGGTCTTTGATGCGTACACAAAGACTACTATCTCTTATAGACAGACTTCCGAGGTATTGCGTACATATTTACACTGACGAAAATGCCAACAAAAATATAGGCAACACACGAGAGTAGAAATTGGCGCCCATATCATAAGCATCTAGGTCAATACTACTTTTGATGAGATTTGGGCGTAGCTTAGTAGTAGAGCGACCGTTTTACAATTTCTTCTTTGATCTAGATTAGATTTGGGCACATTATTTACTAAATACGGCATCCTGAATGTACTAAAAGGCCGAATAGAGTAAACACTAATTCGCAAATCGCAAATCGCAAAAGTCATATAATTACTACTACTGTGCTAGAGTGTCTATACCCCACACCCCCACGTACTTAAGAGGGGGCCTGATTATATAAACTCGCTACTCGCTGTCGCTGTATCCTTACTATTGCTGTATCCTACTATTATATCCTTACTATTACTACGTTCTTACTGTCGTATCCTCGCTGTCGTATCCTTACCGTCGCTGTCGTATCCTTACCGTCGCTGTCGCAAAAAAGAGAAGAGAAAAGCAGGAGGGAGAGAGCCAGGCAAGGTACTCGTAGGTAGCAAACAATTGTTAACGCAACACGTGCTAACCTAGCCGTTTTAGGAAGGTAGTAGTCGGGGCTGGGAATAAGCGACACACACAACCAAAATATTTCCCCGCTTCTGTCCCTTTCTCTCTCTCTCTCTCTCTCCCTCTCTCCCCTACTCACACACACACACACACACACACATACACAAAATGCTAGGGCACAACCCTATCCGACAGCGAGGGTAGTAAGGATACGACAGTAAGGATACGACAGTAAGGATACGACAGTAAGGATACGACAGTAAGGATACGATAGTAAGGATGCGACAGTGAGGATGCAACAGTGAGAGGACGTATACACGTGAAAATTCCTAGGCACGTAAACTCTAAGGGTGGGGGTGTAGGGGTATAGGTACTCTCTAGCACAGTAGTAGTAAATATATGACTTTTGCGATTTGCGATTTGCGAATTAGTATTTACTCTAATCGGTCTTTTAGTACATTCAGGATGCCGTACTAAATGAATATGTATTATATAATAAAAATCCTAAAACGCAAGGTGTAATCAGCGCTAAAGGTATAAACACAGACGTAAAAGCAACTAGTTACCACGGTAAAAGAATTGACTACCAAGATTTCTCCATTCGGCCATTTTTTTCAAGGGCAAGCCATGTTCCAGTTTAGAGAAATGCGATAAGCCTCTGGCAAGAAAGTAGAAGTGCCAGATAAGAAAGGAAATTGAAAAGATGATGAAGAAGGGGACGAGGATCAAGAAGATACTAAAGAGGGACCTTACGATGATGAAGGCATAGAGGAGTTGAGATGGTAGGAGTCGCCTACTGAGAGCAAAGACGAAGATTTAGAGCCTCTAAGGAAATGCGGGGACCTAAAGAGGTTCTATAATAGAATTTAGTGAGAAGCTGGCCAAGGAGGATAGCAAAACATCAGATGAGCAAACTGCTGGTAGTGTTTTAAAATAAACAGATCTGGTTCTACAGACAACGCTAGTCCCGCAAGCGACCCTGAAGTGGAAAAAGATGACGCCAAAAATGAAGATACTAAAGGGGGGCGATAGTGATAGTAATAGCAAGTCAATACATATCGATAACCCCCAAGCTTACATAGAACAAAACCTAGTATCTCCTCTCAATCCTCCAGTTTCATAAGAACTTTATACACTCTCTGCATTTCCTATCTAACCTTATCTCTACATAATAACTTAGATCTCTTCTCTCACTAACAAACAACTACACTCTCTTTATCCTGTTTCCTTAATTCACTCATTACCTCCTCCCTAGTGAGTCTATAGATCCATTCACGTCTCGTAAACAAACCAATAGGACCACCCTGTTTACTCAGCGCTATATTTAGCCTCCTGGTGAATTAATTTCTTATTCACTCTCTTAAAAGAAGGTAACAACCCTACCTCTCAACAGATTTACCCAAGACTCTCAACTCCGTAATCTCCATAGCAAAATCCAATCTCCGCAACCACCTTACCTTCATTCACCTATCCCTCTATCTCAGCTCCCGCTAAGCTCCCCCTAATTCACTAGTAACACTGTGCTTCCTAGTGAATCTACCTATATATTATTCCTGAAAAGAGTGAACAAGGATATGAATGTAGCAACCCCCCACCTCCGTAGTCAGTTGGTCATTCCATTCACTCTCTTAAAAGTATTTAAAAGTAACTAAATCCTAGTTACTAACTAATTCACTCTATAACCCAAAGTCCGTAGTTACTACTTAATAATCTTCGACTGTTCAAACTTTACTACTCACCCCTCCCTATACCTCTAGAAAGAAGCGGCCCTACATTCTTAATTCATTCACTTACTCACTTGCCTAGGTACATACCCTATTAACAAACTCACCTAACACCCCTAAAACCCGTCCGTAATCTCCAGCCTTTCACTCCTATCCCTCTAAAATCCTATTATGGATTCACCCCCACCCTCCTAGAACCAAGCGCCTTCCTTAATTCACCTTCTATACCCCTCCTCCCCACTCGTTACCCCGTAAACAAAACACGACATGTAAACACCTAAGCGAGCTGAACACCCCAACAAAGTCAATAACTATTCACCAACCCAAACATCAAAACTAGCTGAGGCCTTCAGCTCGCTAATGAACCACATCTCCTACCCATCCAGGTACATCTCCCATTCACCAACATCCAATCCCTCTGTCCTATCTAATCTCATCTTCGCCTGATTTTGCTATATCCAATCCCCTCCCTATGGGGTAACTCCCTATCCATCCAGGTACATCTCTCATTCACTACCTAGTATACAACTCATCTACCCATCTGATCTGACAGACTGATCTCAACCTTACCTAAATTTACTATATCCAATCCCCTCTCCACGGGGGTAAATCCCATTCAGAAATCTACCCAAGTAAATCGCCGATCTTCCTAGATTCACAAGATCCAAACTCCTTCACCTACAACCCTCTATCCATTCAGCACCCACATCCACATCCACATTCACAACATTCAACCCCTCCATCCCACTCCATCCCACCCATCCTACTCCATCCCGTCCGATCTGATCTCATCTAATTTCCTAATTTCCCAACCAACCAACCAACCAACCAATCCAATCTCCCGTGTAACCATCAATGGGCGCCCCTAGATTAGATGAGATCAGATGAGATCATCTAGATCCAAGAAGACACTGAGAATAACAACCAAAACAAAACAAAATAAAGCGGAACATCTCAAAGCGATCCATCCATCCATTCATTCAATCATTCAATCATTCAGCTCGGAGAAATCCTCCTAGGACATGTAAGAAAGCTATTAACAAACACACACAAGCCCCGAGACATTTACATTCACATTCACATTCACACAAGCCAAGATCACAAGAAAGAGTTTTAATCAAGTTGCTTTATTTTCATCTAATAACATCCACATCCCCCCATCAAGGAAAAGGGGTAGACAAAATATTTATACATCAAAAAATAGGAACAAGGATGTCCTCAACAAAACATGCTCAACTGAACCCAAACCCCCTATCCGAGGCCTGCGGCAAGGAGCACGTCGTCCAATACCCGAGCAGAGAGATCAAAGTAGCAAAAAGAACCGCTGATGAAGAAAAACAGTATGGTAATAAAAAAAAAGAAATTTTGTTCTTGTAGTACTAGTAGGTAGGTAACAGAGTCTTAGAGAAGACCTCTTTATCTCTTTCTCTTTCAAACTTTCAAATAAAACAATGGGGGTAATCCAAAATGGCCCCTCTTCAGAAGTATCTTCCCACCCCAACCTTCCCTACCACGCGAAGCTCGCAACAAAGAAAAGAAGAATCCCTATTCAACAAACCTGGCCCAGTACGGGACAAGGTCAGCGCAACCCAGTCGAAACGAAGTATCCAAAAATATCCATCCACCCTAAAAGAAGATACCGAAGAAGATAGCCATCTCATAATCGTCATCATCCAAAAAAGAGAACACGAGGATTCCCACACCCAAAAAAGAAGAAACAGAAGGAAACCAAAATCATGATACACGGGTATCAGATATGTCGTCAAGAAAACCCGGCCAGGCTATGCAATAAAAGGATATAAACAAAAAAAATAAACATCGAAGACGAGGTCCAACAAAACGTCGACCGTCGAGCCGACAGGAAAGAAGCGAAACTTTGTTTTTCGAGACAGAGATCTATATCGGTTGTTGCATCATATGTTGGGCGTTGATGAGTTGACTGGGAGTCGCCATGCCGGAACCGGGCATGCTCATCGCCATGGATTGAAGGCCGTTGAAGCTTTGTGACATGCTGGTTGGGAGGTAGCCATTTTCGGAGTTGGGTGAGGCTTCCTCCAGAGGTCCGAGGTTGTCTTCACCCTCGTACTCTTCCTCTTCTCCGCTGTATCCATAAGGACCATCAGAGCCATCACCACGATCATGGGTTCTACGATGTCTGAAGATACGTTAGTACATGTTTTGGGATACTTGATGTGCATGTGACGTGATGAAATGACATACTGGGCGAGGTTATCTGATCGGGAGAATGCCTTATTACAGTGGGGGCAGATGTAGGGTCTTTCTTGGGTATGTGTTCTCACGTGTCTGGAGGGGTACATGTCAGCGGCCAAGATTTTGGACCGGTATATGAAAAGAAAAATAAACCATACCTTTTGAGATGCTCTAAACGCTTGAAGAGACGGCCACAAGTGGGGATAGGACATGAGTGTGACTTTTGGGGGTAGGGACCAAGCTCCATCATGGTGGCGCTACGAGCTCTTCGGACGACACCATTGGGACCTTGTTGTTGCATATGAGATCGGGGAGAGTTATGGATGGATCCATCACCTGAGAGATCCTCATTTGATAAATAACCAAAGTCATTGTTTTGGAGAGCCATTGGGTTCATGGCTGGGCTGTCCTCCACCGTGGAGAGGGGAGTGCCATGTCGAGACATGGTTTCGAGGAGATCCTTGTGGTGTTGAGCCATCTGGGGCATTTGGTGGCTATAGCTCAATCCTGGTGGGGAGTTGTTTCCGGATTCATCACCCTCAGCAACCGGTCCCACTGATGCAGAGACAGATCGTCTCAGATCCGAAGGTCGGTGAGAGTTGTGAGCTTGGTGACTGGCAGCTGAGGCAGCGACGATTGCAGCGACTCCTGGAGGAATCGATGAGCGTCTTCTTCTTTGCTTGTAGGTTGGAGATCCTTCAATGACAGAGTAGACGTTGTTGCCGCCATATCCACGGGTGGCGTGGGAGAACTGTGGACCGGAAAGGTTGGAAGGAGGGAGCTGCATCATGCCGTGCATACCACCACCCATGTGGTCTGGAATCGCGGTGTAAAGACCGGTTTCCTCATTGGCAATGTAGGCGGGCTCGGCGCCCATTCCGAGGGCTTGCTGAGGTGGAGTGATGGGTTCGAAGGAGATCCCACGGTTGCTGTAATCTTCGTAGTGTGATGAAACAAACGATGGAGCGGGTGAGTACTCCAAGCCGTATGCTGGCATGGACGAGTGACGTTGGTGTGTTTGCGAGATTGGTACGCCATTCTGGTTGTATTGAACGCGACCAAAATCTTGCTCTCTCTTGACGACTTGCTGTGCCATGTTGGGTCCAGCCATGGCGGTCATTTGCTGGTATGCGACCATTGGGTTCATGTCGTCTGGCATGGCTTGCATCTGAGGGGGCATCATTTGTGGGGGTGGCATGGAGTCCATTGCGCGCATCACTGGGGAGGTGGATTGTGATTGGGCTTGCGAGAAAGAAGGCTGTTGGGCGGAGAATGAGGAAGAGTTGGCTTGTTGGGCCTTGGTGAGTTGCTCAAAGAGTGATTGGGAGGAATCAAACTCGAAGGACAAAGCAGGTTCGTTGACAGCAACTGTGGTAGCCTCCTGTCCCATCTTCTCCCGCTTCAAATCTCTTTCGAGAGCATCGAGGAAGAGTCGGTCATGGGGAACGCTGTACCAGTAAAACACCTTCTGCTTCTTTTGGGTTCGAATACAGTTGTTCTTGTACAGGAAATCCAGGAAAGCACTCTTGGGCTCTTCTAACGATGCATCGGTTCCGGACTTCAAGTTGCGCAGATCCGAAAAGATACCTTCCTCAAACTTCTTCGAGTTCTTCACCGGTCGACCGAAGGCTTGGAATCGGAAGGAGAGGCATCGCACGATATCGGTACCTGAGATGTGAAAGAGGTTGTTCCTGGGTGACGTTAGTGTGGGGTAGCTCGATTCACCACGTCGGGTACGTACCATAGGACACACGAAACGTATTCACCAGTGGGGAGAAGAAATCGACGGATGTACTGATCGGGTGTCCAGTCGACGGGTGCTGATATTAAAAAGTATTTGACTGCTCCACGTTAGCTCGAGGTCTTCATGGCATGTATCCATCGACGACGTACGATTATCGACTTGCTGCAAGGCGACTTGGGCATCCTGTGGTAAGCTCTGTTGGGCTTCACTGCTTAACATGAAGGTCTCTGGCTTTTGGGGAGGAGCCATCGCGGCTGCATGATGTTGTGAATACATCATGTGCGCCATTCAATTGAGTCGAAACAATTCCAGATGATCCCGCAATATCCCAAACAGGTGGTGGGTATATTGAAACAAGACAGAGGAGGGTAAGGCTGAGTGACGGATGTGTCAAGCCAGGTTTTGATTATGGTTGNGGGGTGGTGGTTCTGTCAGCCACCACTATGAAGCAGTAGCGCACCGGCTGATGGATGAAAAGGGACGATGACGATGAAGCGAGTGTTGATTGAGGGTGTCGACGAGAACACACACTGTGCTATGGGCTATGGGCTGTGGGCGTTTGGGTTGAGGAGCCTGCTCCGATCAAAAATGCAAAGGGCAGATGGAACGGTTGATGATCGAGGAGTTTCGAGGCCAGCAAGAACTCGACTCGACGGGGCGCGCGAAGACCGGCTGGAATTACTATAGAAATTGGACGAGGAGCACCGAGGAATCCGTCGACCAGAGGGGGGAGACGGTGGTGGATGGGGATTCTACGCTTCGAATGTACAGAGTGGTGTTGGGTTGAGTGTACAGGCTGATCGGGCGCGATCGTGAGGCCTGGGGAGAGTGACTCTGTAGTCGCGACTGGGATGGGCGAATTTGGAAGCTTTCGAGGTACGGACCTGCGACAAGAAAGAGAGCGTAGAGTGCAAAGTGTGAGAAGTGTTTGGGAAAGCGGAACAAGGGAGATTATGAGGGAGGAGTTCGGAGGCGGGTCCAGATGGAAGGCGGGTGTGCGAGCGAGGGAGCGCGGCTGCTGATATCAACTGAACGGGGGGGTGGGTTGCTACGGCCTGCTTGGCCTGAGTGCTTGGGAAGCGAGGGTGCTAGAGGAAAGGTTGGGGAGGGGAGGGCGAAGGGATGGGGAGGGGCACGCTAAGGATGACCAGGGGGGGTGCTGTGGCCTGTCGGCGCAGGGGGTGAATGGGAAGGAAGGGCCCAGGGTGAGGATGCCTGGATACGCCGATTCTGGGTGCTGCTGGGATGTCGAAAATATCTGACTGGCTGGCTGTCTGTCTGTCTGCACTACACGACTGCACTCGAGCACACTGTACTGCACTGCACACACGCTGGGGCTGGCTTAGGCGGGCAGAAGAAATGAGGATTTTGGCGCCGGAGAAGTCGATATTCTAGGACGTTTGGCTGTGCTCTGCTGTGCTGTGCTGTGCTGTGCTGGGTGCTATGTACGGAGGCACTCACTCTGTGTGTACGGAGTACTGTACGGAATGGTATCTACGAAGCACTCCGTATGTTCGGTGGCCAGCTGCCAGGGCCGTGAGGGTCAGTGGTCAGTGGTCGTCACTGATGGTCCGGGAGAGCAGCTAGACGGCTTTGGGTTTAATCACCGGCCATGCACCGGGCGGCGGAGAAAGAAGAGGTCACTGTTGAATGCCTAGGGAAGCAGAATGGCTGGCCCCCCGTCAATTTCCAGGGCCCGACTCCAGAGCCGGTGCCTGTTTCTGTTGCTTGTTGGGGCAGGAAATTTGGGGTTTGGATTTGGGGGAGTTGACAAGAGATAGAAGTGTCCCCACCGGCTATTTCTTTTGGATGGGTCGATGGCGATGCGATGCGATGCGATGATGGCCGCGGCGATGGCCAGGTTCTCCCGTTGACGATCGGAGGAAACGGCGAGAAGAGGCACTTCAGGGAAGCCTTCAAGCCGCAACGCAGAGGAACAGGCCTGGCACTGACTATGGTACACTGGCTATAGTAACGTACTGAAGTAGAAGTAATTGGCACGGCAGCGAGTTGGTGAGAGACCTTGTCCGGCAGCTTCAACAATCACGCGCAGGTACAGGTACAGGCACAGGCAGTTAGGGCAATCAGACGGAGATACCTTCACGTGCGGCTGGTTGTAGAAGTACGTATACCAGTCCACCGTACCTCGTAATTTGGGATTTGGGATATCCGGAGCAGTGAACTGATGGAACTTGGAACCCTTTTTTGTGCAGGGCACGGCACGGCAGACAGGAAGACTTCAAGCGGGAGCTTTGGGAAGCCTGCAAGTAATGGGGGATGCGAAGACGAAAGGGAGAAGAGACGTGCGCACGCTCAGGGGTCTTTTTTTTCCCCTTCCTTTTTTTCAGTTGGTGAGCGAGGCACTACTACGTAGGTACGAGTACTGGAAGCCAGGACTGAATTACTGCTGCCCGTCAAGCACAGAGACTCAGAGACCTCACACAGATAATAAAGAGACGAGGGCCCTGCTGTCTCTTGTGTCTCCCGGTCTTAGACTCTTATATCTCGTTGGATGCTCGACGGTGCTGTACAGCAGCGATTCGCTGTGAGACACGCCTACGGACCCATTCTTCGTGCGAGTACTCATTCACTGCTGGAAATAGAGGGCAGCAAGTCAGGCGTGAATGAGTCCTCCGTCAGTTACTAGTGTGGAAGGATGCAGCCCGAAAGACCACGTACGGAGGACTAAGAAAGAAAGAAAAGAAAAAAAACAAGAGTCTCGCGCGGAATCAGGTCCCTGTCAACGGTGGATTCTGCTGCAACGACCACAGCCAATCAGCCGACCACCGAAGTCGAAACACAGGCGACGGATCCAAAATATCTCAAACATCACGCCAGAAAGATGACAGGTCGCCAAGCCTCAAACAGATCCACGATACGTCGATAGAGGCCGAAAGAACGAGGCCGACGAGGGAGGGATAACGACATCCAAACAACAGAAACCCGTCCAATGTCAGTCACTCATGGCTGTACGGTGTCCTCACACTACCAAAGACTGCCGCTCTGGAGGATGAGCTTTCTTTTGACCACAGTGCCTGGTCTCCGGTCTCTGGCCTCTGGTTGGAAAATACGACAGCTCAAGGGGCTGGGAAATTGAAGTAATAGAAGCGAGTGGAGCTTCGGTGCAGTCGGTGCACGACCTTTATGAAAAGGTACATGACATGTACATTTACACTGGTTGCGGGGAACAAGGGGAGAGGGAGGGAGTAGCATTGCCAGTGGTCTACTTCTAAAAAAGGACCCCGTCTTTGCGCGTGTAGCTACTAGCTGGAGGCTGTAAGTGTGGCGCTGACTAAAACTTCAACGTTCAACGGTTGCCATCTTCGCAGCTACACCGGTAGCTAGATGAATGGTGTATGCTGGGAAGTTGGGGGAAAAAGAAATCGAGAATTTATGCCTCAAAAGACCAAGACTGTCCGTCCCAAATCCAGTAGAATCCCCAAGCTTCCTTTTGATTCTCCCTCTCCCTGCTGAGCTGGCTTCATCGCGAGCTTGGGTCCGTATTTTGTTTGGCCCTTTCAGATGCGCTTGCTCTTGCTCTTGCTCTCGCTCTCGCTCTTGCCCTACTCCACTCTACACTAGTAGAAGCTGCAGGAGATGGAATTCCTGCACCCAGCCATCAAATCTCGCCTTGTGAGCCAGCTACAGCTAGCTTCATGTATCAGTACGATGGGGCACCGACACAAATAGAACGTCTCTATCCGACTCATCACCAGAAGCCTACGCTACACCTCATGACAGATCGCGTGCATGAGCCCACGGAATCCGGCAAACTCAAAAACCCTTTTCTTCCATTGCATGAGTGTTTTCCATGCATTGCCCGCTAGAGCACATTCATACTTTCTGCCAGAACCACAAGAGCCGCGCCGTGGCGCACTACCGGTGGGATTGGGCTCGGATGGTAGATGGTGGATGGTTGGTGGCTGGAGGGGAGGGGGGGGGACTGGACAAGGAAATAGAAATGGAAAATGGCCCTCTCACCAGAAATCTTTCGACAGCCAAGATCAAGAATTCCCGAAAATGGCCAGATATGGAAGAATGGCGAGAAAGGAAAATATGGATATTGTACAAGTACTTCTACCAGTGGCGAGACCAGGTGGCTGGTGGAAAAGGCTTCTCTGGGTCAGAGCGAGCAATAGTACTTCCAAGTAAAGATTCCCGTCTTGGGGGCAATATCTTTGCCCGTGCCGTACTCGACCCATACGCTACAGTCCGTATACCGTACTAGAAGTTCGTACTACGGCACAGCATCTTAGCAACACTCTTTTATGCGTTGATATGAGCGTCGTTATGATCGTCAAAACTTGGTGGGATGGCAAGCCCCTTCCCAGCAACTCCTGGCCACTCGTCAATCGTGCAATGCCAGCGGTGCTTCTCGAATCTCAATGGCGGGGTCAATCATTGAATATGAGCTAGGATGATGCTGCTATGGTTCTGGTTGCCTTGGAGTTGCGGACTTTGGTTTGGCTGCGCCTTACTCAACGAGTCGACGGACCTTATGTGACCGTTGACGAGGAGTGGCTGTGATTCCATCGGTTCTGGAAAGCTGATAGCTGCATCTCAACATTGCCAGCCTTCCATCCTTTCCCTTGCGCTTGAATATACTGTAGGCTGGAGTACTGTACATCACTGGTCCTCCACTGAGAGCTTAGGTACCGTGCTCTATACTGTACTGTATTGACAATGGATGCTCTTCGCCAGGGCACTTTCGTCAACGTGGCTGGTGGGTTCGCCATGTGTAGTCGGCCACCAGGATTTGGATCTCGTCCCGCGATTGCGACGATGCGCGGTGCGCGATGGTTGGTAGCCTGTAAGCACCATAGTCATGATGATGGAGGTCGAGGTCGAGTCTCTTTCTAGATGCGGGGGATAAGATAGAGGGGAGGGAGTCTTGTCAAGATGAAACGGTGCTGAGGATAGACAGGGGAATTCTCGCTTTGCTTCAGATTAGCGTCCCCTGTACTTGCACCGCACTCTACTGTAAATAACGGGCGAAATTCCGTACGAGTACTCCGTACAGCATCCTCTTCCGTGCCATGCAGTTGCATTCATCCCGATTCGCCATCATGACCATCAACAGCTATGCTATCGCTGCCCAGGCAAACATGTTCATCGCAATGGAAAATTCATGCGAGCCCTGGATGCTTCTTTCTCTGATGTCTCGTTGCATGAAGACGTATCCATTGATGGATGACAATCATGGCCAGCCAGCGGCCCAGCAGGGAGAGGGATGGCAAAGATCCGACGTCCGCCCTCAACCAAAGAAGGTCGGTAGTAGAGAATTGCCAGTTTTTGCAGATACGGACTCCTCATTTTTGAATTTTCGCAAAAAGAGAGTTTCCCTATGGATACGCCACGCCACGTGCGGCTGCTACGGGAATGGTGACTGTTCACCAAGTAATACTCGTAATGTACTGTACGAAGCCAATCCTCAGATGTGAATCCATCTCCGCACTCGTACCATACCGATACCGCCACGAGGTTACAGTAAAGTTACCACAGAATATCCATCTCTGGATATCCAAAATGGACAAGCTGCATGAGCACGTACTAGAGCCGTACTCGGCATCCTCTTTGTGGATTGAGATAGGACATTCAGTTCTGTACCTGCAGCCAACGAACGTCCTGGATCGTTGGTGCTTTGCTCAAGAATGCTCAGATCATCGTGGTGGTCCAGGCCGAAGGCGCACAACATCTTGCATCCTTACCGAGCATCGCATCGCCAAATCCTGAGCAAACACCAAACCATGATCCTTTGCATCTGTCCGTAGCGGACGAACATACCAAAGTGATACTCTGACACAAGAAACAACCATCACCGCAAACGAAATGTTTCCGCTCCGGACGAAAGCAGAAGGTGGAAAATGAGGATTTCCCAAGAGTGATGGGACCTGCATCGGCGGCCTCTGGGCTGTACTGTACCCGACGGTACCTACAGTAGATTCGACAGAGCACCCACTCAGGGGTAGGCACTCGGCAAAGAAACGTGACCGGGAAGAAAAGGAAGTCAGGGCGAATGGCGAGTGACGGTACAGGTGGTGACATGGGAGGACCCGGTCACACTGCATGTGTACCTGTGTGTACCTGTTTGATCATCAACATCTCAGGAGTCTGAAACTCGCCTTCAGATTGCACGTTCACTGACTTCCCCAGGGCCCAACTCGACTAGAGAGGGCGCTGACGAAGCAAGGGAAATGGCTGTTGTGCTGGTAGACTCACAGGAGAGCAAAAACAGGCGTAAATGAATGCGTGATCGTCCCGCCTCGAGGCCACGATTCATCCTTTGGGACCCAGGACTTGCCTGACAAGAACCGGTTTTCCAGAACAGGCACCTTTCCGTCGTATTTTCAAGAACCTCGGTCCCAATCCATCACAGACCACCAGTCAGCGTCAATAATCCCCGGCTATTATGGAGGTCTTCAAGTTCTTGGACTCTCGGAGACGAAGTTGGCGGTGAAAAAAGGGCTCCCCCACTAAGGGAAAAGTATGTCGTTGCGAGAGCCTGCCCTCCGGAAAACCATCCCAACTAGGCCAGCCAAAAGAGCAAGATTCTGGTCGTTTCAATTTCCCAAAACCATCAACCTCTCGACTTTCAAAATTCAATTACAAATGCCGATAAGTGAATAATTCCCATGATGCCACTCGCTACGGAAACACTCCCATAGCAGCACCAGTGCCCAACTACCCGCTGAAAATTTGTAATTTCAAGACTCGAGGGCTCAAAGATCCACCTCTCATGGAAAGAACTGCCATGATTCATTCATTCTACTCGCGAGTGCAACTGGGAAAAAGAGGTCCCGAGCGTATCGCCGCATCCTTCAACGAAAACTCCGTCCATTGCCCGAATGGGTCGATTTATTTTTGGAACACTCCATCGAAACTATCCGCTGATCGGTACAGAAATGAACCGCAGAAGCTCGCTTACACAGTTTCTTATGCAGCCACAACTTGAAACATGCAGCCATTGCAGCCTCTTATCGCCTGATTGGACCAGACCTTCGTCAACGGATTTCGTACTCCGCACACTACAACCCATCTTTAGCCCGCAGGTCAGTGACCATCTGGCGGTGCATGACATCCCAGCCGCTGAGATCAGAATCGTGACTTTCTTCAATGATTCTGGTCCACTGACGGCCCCTTCCAGAGACCTTCCAGGCAACTTTTGCCTTTCTACAGCATCGCCATGCTATCCCCGGCCATCATCATGGCCGGCGGCTCGTTGAAGAATATGTCGTGCTTTGAAGACCAACAACTTGGTTACACGTGAGGGATTTGGAGTCGAGCGCGTCGCTGAGCTATTTCCAGACGAGTTTGTTGTACACGAGCGCCAAATAATATCCTCAGATGCGCCTAATTATGCCAATGAATCCAATCAAGACATTTTTGTACTCTGGATCATCCCCACAAACAAAAAGGTTTTAATTCAAGATAACGCAGGTTTGTCCAGGCCCACGCACAAGGCGCGAACGTCTGGCATGTCAATTCCTGAAACATGGCAGATAGAGAAAACTCATGACCTTTCAATGAAAGTTTACCAAGCCTTGCCTTGATTTCGAGAAGCGAGCAAAATCATCTGGGGCGCCACGCCTTTCTTCGGAGAATTTCTCATGGGCCACGATTCTAAGGACGATTACCAAATGCGCACAGCGCACTTTTTCGTCATTCCCTGGGTACACGATGCAAAAATTGTGGATGTCTCGCTGAAGATGAAACACTACCATAATGAAGGCGGTCTTCTCGCTTCTCGCCTGTCTGGTTGGGGGAGGCACCAGGAGGCTCAAGGCATGGTAATCCGGGTTGCTCACCATTTTAAGTGGGTTTATGTTTTTGAGATGCCCAACCGAAAACGAGGAAACAAAGATCATGAAAATTGTCCGTTTAAAAAGGGGTCTGTCTGATGATCTCCAGGATAAAGATAATGATCGTGTTGTGATTTCTTGAAAGAAGAACCCTTGGGTACGTTTCGGATCCTTCTACTGTACGCCTGTACCTGGTGCTGCTCAGTACAACATCGCAATCCTCTTTGTTTCGTTTCGTTTTGTTGTAGATATGGGTAGTATTGATGGCGGGGGGTGATCATGCACGTGTGAGGCAACGCAACGCAGATTCCGTTGAAGAACGTTTCTTTATGTGGTTGCGTTGCCATACAGTACAGTGCATCTTGAAGCCTTTGGGATTGGGCGACCCATGTAGTCTCGCAGAAAGATCCGATCGGATTTATCTGCTTTCCGGGCTCAGCTCCCTTTCTATCAATTCCTTCGGGATGATGCTTGTGGCCTTTCTCGTTTCTGTTCTTGCGATGATTGTTTGAGCCCTATGCATAAAATCCGCACGAAGTGCATAAGACGAATCTCCCTTGCATTTTGTACTGTATTCTTGTCTTGTTCATTTCGCCTGCCGTCGTAATTCTTGCCACTAGATTGGAATATTGGGTTCAGACTAGAATTTCAATGCAGGCCTTGTCGGAAGGTTGGATTTGGTGCAAGCAGCAAATGATTATAATTGCAAATTGTCAAATACTACGGAGTACACGTCCTTCGGGACTAGATAGCTCAGAAAGAGAGAAATATAGCTCAGTAGATGACAATATAACACCCCATCTACAAACATCCTTCCAGCCTACGCAGTGCTACTTCCCCTCTTACCTCTCTTACTGTCATATTCGCTACTATTTCCGAATACGGAAATACACTTTTGTCATCCAAAAGACAAAAAGGTTCCGGTCCGCGTTACCTTCCGGTTCATAATTTGGAAAAGTCTTAATTTCATGACATGTTGATATATCACAACAAATTCAAGGGTCTTCCTGATAGGTTGTTAATCTATTCCTGTGAAAGATACTGGTTTCTTGGAGGGATACCGTCTTGAGGGTGAGATTGAATGTAATGTCCTCTTGAAAGGGTCTTCGATATTGTGTTACTTGTTGTTTGCGACTCTTCTTTCACATGTTTGCGAAGTCTATCTGGAATTCTGGGAGTTATCTCGTTGAACTTGTGATTGGGGACTTGTAATACAGTACGATTCTCCTGGCTGATCACGACTTGATGGTGCGTGGCGGTATTTTCATGCTTGGGACGCCACTTGGATATGCCATACGAGCGATTACGAACGATTGGATTCTTTCATTCTCCCAGTCCGTTCTAAGTTCTAGTAAGGTTATACTTGGTCTTGTAGTATAACGCCTTCTCGTCGACGTCCGTCTAGCCATCGCAGGAACTCGTATATTCCGTAACTTTGAAAAAATCGCTTGGGTTTGTAGAAGTGGAGGTGCTTTATCAATGCCTTCTTGCCTTGGGCCCTTTCTCTCCGTACTGTAGCTGTAGAGCAGGAAGAGAATTGGTGGTAGAATGATGTACATACAGTAAACATCTTTTCCACTTCTCGGTAGGAGACGTGGATATTGCTCGCTACGCCCCTAGCTTAGAATGATATTATTCTGGAACCCTCACACAACTTAAATAGACAAATAAAGTATATTGAAAGACTTGGTATAATATTAGCATACCTATACCAAGACAATTAAACCACCTGTGCTAGGCGTTTACTATACTGGGATTTTTTAGTGTGTACAAAGTATTGACCAGGTCTTTCACATATGATATTCTGTTTCCAAAATATGAGTAAGGTACTAGTTATTCCGCTCCTCTCTCTCTTATTGGACATGTCTTATGCTTTCGCTTCTTTCTTTTATTGCTGTTGTTCTCGTAATTTTGTATTCTAGAAATTCAGGAAGAATACACTGCCATGTTATTATAAACAACAAATAACAGACAGTGGCTATTCTTCTTCCTGGGGGTAGTCAACACTATTGATACTTAACAAATATAGGTAGCGTTGTTATCAGACACAATAGATAGACATGGTACCTGAAGCTGCGAACCCTCGCTCTGCAACGATTGACAAATGTAAGAAAGGGGTTCTCGCTCTCCACCATAATACTACCCTCCCAACATTGCTGTCCTGCCACAGTTATACCATACCGCTAAGTAGAGGATTGCTTTTCTCCTTCTTTTGCCGGCAAGTGAACTGGCGCTGTCGAATGGAAACAAGTCGGCTGTTTGTGGAAGCAAGGCACTGTTACTTGACGGCGCATTTGTCATGACTTACAACTGCACACTTTCTTTTCAACGGTACATTTCCTGTTGACTGTTTTGGAAAACCACTCAAAGAATACATCACAAACACCACGCCTACCACCACAGTCTCTCATTCATGATTACATCAAGTTGCAGACCTTCAACATCTTACTAAAAGAAAAAGACTTCACCTTGAAGTACAACGAATAGAGCTTCTGCTGCCATGAAGGGGCAATTCAAGAACTCACTCCCGTACACATAGCCGATTATAGGAAGAAGAAAATACCTTGTGCTCTGAGGAAATATTGCCTTGTGGTCCTCGTTTGTACAGGACTCGTACCTAAAATCCCGTTAGACTTTCTGCTAAGGAAATATAAGTTTGAAAGTGCTGGTCTGACTTTGCGTCATATATATGTCATGTAATATACCTATATTATGTGTTAAATTAAGTCCTATATTACATGCCGAAGCAAGTGTAGCTAGCTAAGTCCCTACGTGCTTATATGGAGCGGAGCAAGCTAGCTAATAATTATTGCAGATATATATCAGTAGGAAGAATCTAGAAATAAAGTTGGAAAAGAAATTGTCCTAAAAATTGGAGATGTTTGAGTTTCTTACCCGTAATGTTGATTGTGTATACCTGATATACAAGTTTGTAGAAGCCACCTAATCAATACTGTGACTCCCTCTGGCATAAATCGGGTTGCTACGTGACGTGAAGTATAATAGGTCGGCTTCCTCGAATACACTGTGAATAGCTATTACTTGTGCAAGTAGTTAGCTGTTTATGGTGACCGGAAAGTATGAACGGATGACTATTGTGGTAAATTTCACCTTGAGATATGAGTTGCCAGAATGTGCACCCCCTATCAAAACTATCGATATTTTTAAAAAAACATATAGTACTTCTGAGATGAAAGAATGAAAGAAACTCTTTCTAAGCGACATTTGAGTGAGGACTTTGTTTCAAGAAGTATTTTTTCCACGACTTAAGTCATACTATCTTACCTCGCCTTTGACAATTATCGATGAATACTACCGGTGATCCTAGCAGATAGAATTATCAGGAAGTTTACTCTTATTTCTATTTTTGCATATCTTTGTATTTGGAGGCTACTGTGGCTGTTATTTACGTCGCGTGACTAGCCTCCACAGCTTTCAAACACACCAATAAATCTGGAACATTCGACAACCCTAGCGAGAGAAATTTGAAGTATAGACCCAGGATATTTTCCGAGGGAGATCATTGGCCTCCAATGAGAATTGACCCTTTCTTCATTTCCCATGCTGAGTGGAACAACGGCAAGTAGTTGGGCTATTTTCAAGTGCTATCCGTCTCGATACCATGGCGGCAATCTAAACAAGAAGCAGTTACGAGCAAAATCGTAAGACATACTAGCAGAAAGCCGAAAGTGAATTAATCCCATTGTCCAAACTAGAATGGAAATGCGCTTGAACAAGTACTGGAAATTGGGTAAATGATGGCACAGAAGTAACTCCTGAGAGTATCCAAAGATATCCCAAAAGCATGGCTTTATATGATATGAATACAATAAACCTACAAACCCTTCAAGATCTTCTTGGTATGTGAGCTTTGTGGCCCACAAACCGTGAGTCCCATCCACGAGAAATGTTTGGAAGCCGGAGATTCAGGAGACCCTCGCTTACTCCCCTTTTGATACGCTCTTGTAAAAAGTGAATAGACAAGCCTGTCAGGATTGGGTGATGACTGGATATCCTACTTACTATCTTGTAATTCATTAACGTAGCAATGGCACTGTTCTAAGATTTATGCCAGAAATCTCCACTTTTTAGCTCGAAAAAGAATGGCTAATTCGTCAATCGCATATCCGTTGAATCTTATGCCATGGTCAATGTGATCATGCTACATGTCTTCTCGTCACCTCGAATGATTCTCCTATGTATTTATCACCCGGTAGCCACCCCGTGGATACTTGCTTCCTTTCTGAGCAGAAAAGAGGTCAGAGAGCCTCGGTCTTTGGAAAATCACAATTAGAAATACCGCCGAATCCGAGGTTGTTAACAAGCGGTATTTAAAGGCGGGGGAAAATGGCTGTCAAGGATCGCAAGAAATAGTTAGCCCCTAAAGATCGGTACAACCTTCGCAGAGAGAGCAGAAAAAACAAACTTACCGTGCGATTGTAGACATGGTGACAGGCAGTTGTAATATAAGAGCAAAAAGGCTCCTTTGACACCCTCACACAGACATCGGATATTGCCTCAAATACTTAACACCGTTGAAATGCAGTGCGTTGATCGAACGTATAGGACCGTTCCATGGTGCTGAATGCGACCTATGAAGTATATGGGGAAGCCAGAGACCCAAGACTACGAGAATAACTAGCCCCAGGTCTTCGATATTTCACAAGCTTGCCCAATAACGCTCGTGCAATGATGACTCGATGAACACGCCCGGAACTATCCGTTATCGAAAACGGAGTGCCTGTCTATTGTTCTCATATCTTACAGCAAAAATAAAGTTGCTCAAGGGTTTGGGGGAAAAAACTCTAGGGAGTGTATGCTTTCTGAAAGAAGCGGTCGAAAGGGACCCAATACTCTGTTGTAAAATTTAGATAATCGACTTCTGGTAAGTGATTTTGATAGGTCTTTTTTGTCGTATGAGCGGGAGAGACACTGAAATGGCTAAACAGTCAAATGCAATTAACCACCTGAGGACCGCGTAAAGAAATATTCAGGTCAAATGTGATTGAGGAAATGACAAATTGCAGAGGATTCGTATGTTGAGACTTTCTTCTTATATGGTGAACACGTCTAGCTTTTTGAAAGCTGCGATGTTCTGAGCAGTTCGTGGAATGGGAAGTGGGTTCAGATTGGAACAATCGACAACATGAATTGAATTAGCGCGATGGAGAACATCAACTCAAAGCAGAATCCCCCGGGACCAATGCCCCCAAAACCGCATAAAACTTCTAAACCTTGTAATCAACTGAAACGAATACTGTGGAAGAGTCAGAGAAGCAAGAGAAATTGTGAAGAGGTAAAAAGAATTATCGCAACTCGCTTAGTCCAAGCTCCTCCCCTCATATATATAGAAGCCACCTAAAACCCAACGTATCGCTCGCTAACACCTACAGCATCCTTTCTGGTGTCCCCAAACTCGAAATTCAATTCCGAGTAAATGTTGTTCCTCCCAATTATGGGTGTTTCGACAGCAGCCCTCATATTCTCAAAGTATCTGTCCCCGTCTTGTCCATCACCGCCAGCTGGCGCCGCACCATCCACGAGTTTCCAGCCCACCCTGTCGAATCTCAATTTGACCGGAGCCGACAATCCCACAAATCTCAACTCCACTTCATTCCCCTCACTCGCATAAGTCCGAACCGCTGCCTTCAATTCCTCGAGATAGGTCAGCGTCGTCAAGTCCACGAATCCCACTCTCGTAAAATCCAATATCAACACTCGAAGGTTACTTTGGCTCCTCGTCAACGAAGCCCTGTCATCCACAAAACCCCATTTTGGCTCACACCAAAGTCTCGCCTCAGGATACATGTTGGTAATTCTTTTGAAATCCTCCCCAGCTCTCATAAACACACTCTTCATGATCCTCTTCGCGTTGATATAATAAACATCATCTCTCATCTTGAGAATCTTCACGCCTTCCTGTACTACCACACCCCTCTTTGTCTCACTAACTCCGAACTTAATATCCAACTCGGCCGGAGTCACAGGATCCGCTCTTTCAAAAAGAGATCTTAACATGGTATAGCCGACCATAAAAAAGGCACCAGCCAATACTCCTGTGTCGAGACTAGCCAAGAAGGCCCCTTGAACGACGATTTGACAACTCAAGAAATCGATGAAGGACCCCTTCCAGTGAGAAATTACGATTTTGAAGTCAGGCATGGTTCCTCCAGCGGCAACGATGGTCATTCCTGCAATGGTGGCGCTTGGGATGTAGAACACTGCATCCTTGGCAACTTGGAGTCCAAGGAGAACGACGATGGTGGTGAAGATTCCCGAAAGGGGAGATTTGACATCACTCGCTTCGTTCACGGCTGTCCTGGAAATTTCGGCAGAAACTGGCATGCCCCCGAGCAATCCCGAGGCGATATTGCTTACTCCTAGGTAGGTGAGTTCTTGGGAGGGGTTTACATCGTATCCATGTCGACGACTGAAGGATTTCGTAAGGGCAAGATGCTGAACAATAGTCGCCAAGAACACAGGTATTGCCTGCCTTAGCACCAAAAGAGAAATGCCGAAAGAAGGGCCACCCGAGGTTTGGAAACCATTGCCTTGTTGTCCTGCTATGGCCCATAATGGGCGGTCTCGGTTTCGATTGACGAGATAGCTTATGTTGGTCATGATCGTGAGGACGAACAAATACCTACTCGAAGCGACGAGATGGATGATGAAGTTTTTCTTCCCTAACTTCTGGTCGACAGTCTGTAAAATGGCCAGGATAATGATGGTTGAAATTCCCATAGCGATTGTCGCGGGCTCGGCTGTGTTGATATGTTGAAGAATCTCTTTCGGTTGGGACAAAAAGTCATTGCCAACACCTATTACCCCAAGCAATGGTGCAAGTTGCCCCTGAACAGCTATGAGACTCGCAGTGAGCATAAATCCGACTAGTATTGGAAGCGAGGCGAAATCGAGAATCCATCCCATGTTGAGAAGTCCCAGAAATAGAGACATTAGTCCCACAGCAATCGCTACGCCTGCACCGAGAAAGGTTGGTGGGATTCGCCTCTTATCGGCTCGGTAATCCATGATCACGAAGTTTGTGAGTATTCCAGTGAGAGATGTTGGGCCTGTGCTGAGATCTATATTCGCTTAGCCTTAAGTCCTATTGTGTGATCCAAATCCTACCTTTTGATGTCCCCATGATAAAGTATATGAGTGAAGGGATCCACGTTGATTGGATTCCATTTTGGATCGGTATTCCCGCCAGCGTTGCGTAGGTAATTGCCTGTGGGATCAACATCATCCCCATCGCGGAACCAGCAATTGTATCGCTCGCAATCCATTTGGGGTCATAGTTTGGTAGCCATCCTACAACCGGTACCTTCTCGCGCATATATGTCTCCGCCGCACTTGGTAACGTCTTCCACCCCCTCTTGATCGCATTCCCAGATCTTTTGAGATTGCGATCATTCTTCAACGATGTTTTGATCTTTCTCAACTTCTCCATGTCGACCTAGGCAGCGAGCTGCGTCTGCGCCAAATTGTGCTGTCTTGGAAACGAGCGTGCCGTTGGACGGGAATCCAGTCCCCTTTACTTTTAAATGGAAAGAAGTGGGAGATAGTGCCAGCACGTCGTTCAGAAACCAAGGAAGTCGGGACTACTCAGTAGTCCATATCTACCAGTACTGACATATACTGACAGACTTTAAGCATTTTCGGAGCGTTGTTTTAATCAAGCTACGGTGCCGTACAGGGTAGATGAAACCTTATCCTTGTTTCAATTCATCCAATCTTTGCTTTTTCGCAAACTCCCAAGAAAACTGACGGATTCCGGGACGCCAGATAGCTTGGTAAGCTGTAAGAAATGCTTCTACAGTAATTGCTGCTACAGTAATTGCTGGCCCGAAAAAAATCCCATGAGATCCACCAATTTTAAGCGAATATTTGTACGTCTAGATTAATAGATGGAAAATATTTGGCAAAAGAGCTCATTTCTTTCTGAATGCATATCTCAAGGCAAACATGGTCTATAGTTCACGGGTTAGGGGTTGAGGTATTCGGTATGCTACTACCAGTAGTTGTTTCGACTCCACGACTAGAAACCAAACAAAGCAAAAGTAAATGTCCGTGCTTGAGATCGATCGATTCAATCTGTAGAAGAATAGAGATACCTATAGAAACTATGCAATCTGTATTCATAATTAAAGGGGTGAAAGCAAACGGTTGCTGTTAGATAGGATCCAAAGTCTCTACATCGAAAAATGGAAGAGGGAAGGGGGTATGAACCCTTCTAAAGAGCTTGCGGAATCTACAGTTCCCCAGGCGGATTTTCCGGAAAAGGTGTGTTTTCAGATGAAGAGGTTGAGTGTTTTACTAGAACCCTCGGTCCTCTGAGAACCAGTAGTTAGCGAAAACTTCCAAACAAAATACTGTATTTTAAGTAAATTAACCTTTTTATATATCAGTGCTAGGTTTCTAAGGACTGGTCCATTCAGGCTTTTCCCGGAAACTACGCCAGGGGACTACGTTACTGGCGTTATAAGCTTAACACTATTAAGGTTGTGTGGCGTGATGGAGATCATGCACTATTGACCGCCCAAACAAACTCAACCCCACAAGTTGAAAAGCAGCCAAGAGATGGGCAGGCTCGGAAACCAGTTTACCGGTAACGGGTACTAAGTAATACCGCTCGCTTCCTCCCAGTCACAGATAACTGGATGTGGTAATTTTTGTGGGAGCGGCTGTGAAAGGAAGGCATGGATCTTTTGAAGCTACGAATACGACTAATTCCCCTGGGCTAAGAATTTCAGACCTTACCCCAAGCCAACTTTGCTCACAACCTAATACCTTAGCGCAAGCCAGAAAACACACAGTGCCATGAGATTCTACTGCATCTGCGCTTTGGCAAGAATTTCGCTGATAGTCTAGATAAACGGATACGATAATTTGCAATACCGAATAGAACAAATAGTAGGCTTCTATACCAGACGTTCTACTCTATCATTGAAGAAGACAAAATGTTACAGAGTCGTGGTCTCAATGCTCACTACCAAATAGCACGTGGAGTCGCCTCGGATCACTTGAGGGTGGAGAGAATTTGTTGTAAAAGAGCGTTATACTGAAGAGATAGACTGCCTTTTGATACCAAGAACTGCAACATTAAGATTTGTCTCGATCAGAAATAGTATAGTTATTGAATCTTTTGCAAAATGGATGCCAGACTCACATGACAGTTAAGCCAACTTAGTATATAATCGAACTCGTTATCTCTTTCTCCGACACCGACGACCATTTTCATACCTCTCGACAATGAGAGATACGTCGCACTTGAGCACGTGGGAAGGCTCCCATGTTCTGTCATCCACGAGAGGGAATCCCTTCCATTCGACGAGATCATGCAAACCAACCTTGAAATTTCGACGACCAATGATCCTTTCAACCTCGTATACCTCAACATCACCCTCTTCGTCATCAACTGTAAGGTTGTGGCCATATTTCGCTCTCCTTGATAGCTTGGAGATCATACCTAGAATTCCATGCCGAAACCAGGCGAGGTACACTCCTACTCAATTAATCATCCGCTTCCCAATTCCAATCCTTGTTGGAGTTGGAAGCCTTTCCACTCGACCAATATCTGGAGTACTTGGTGTGATAGGCTCAGCTCTAAACAATTCGATCTCGCGTTCGAGCGCGATGTTCTCCTGGGAGTCGCCAGGTGATCCACTATCAAGATCTGATTCTGCTTCACCACCAGGCTTGGCTCAAGTCCTTCTAGAACGAGACACAGGACTTAGCGTGCTCATTGCTGCTTCGCCAGTGAGTTGTGCAAATATTTCCTCCTCGGCCGTTTCCATTGGATCAAGAGGAGAGAATGCTTGTTCTGGATTTTAGCATATGCAGCTAGAAGGCGATCCGAAATTTGCTTATTTGTCGAGGAGAGTATCTGGGGAGCCAGCACCTCCCCTCATTGTCAAACGTGGCTGCTTCTGGGAAGCTTGGGAACCCCGCCAATATCATTTTCGCCTCCATCAGTATCGAGTATGGTACGTTTCACTGCTTGTTTCTGCTATGGCGAGGGCAGCTTAGGATTGTTGGGAATTTGTAATTCAGTAGCTGAGGACAAAACAGTGGTGCCAACAACTGGGTGCTTGTAGGATGTCCATGGCTTGGCATATTTAGGAGGTTGTGGTAGCAGCTCTTCCAATTTCACATGTTCCAAGGTCAATAAACCCCGAGACTCGACGGTTGAAGTCAATGGATCAAGGACTTTCCACTCATACTCGGCAAGGGCTCGAGACCGGGGATACAATCTCAGTAGAAATTCCCTTTCCTGGTGTGAAGCCTCATCATGCCCGCTATAACATACCTTGATGGCTCTCAAATCCCGTAACTGTGACAATAGTTGGACGTGTTTTGTCGAAGTCATTACCAATGATTCGGTGAGTGCTCCCGGGAAAATAGTATAACAAAAGAAGAAGGGGGGCGGCATCTTAGGGTTAGATTCCATTGCAATCTGCCGCAGATGCAATTGTTCGACAGGTCCAAGAAGGCTGGAGGAAAGATGTTCAGCACCCATGCGCACAAACAAGGTATCATGCTCGAGATGCACGCAGATGTTCTGTAAACGAGAGATCGTCTCTGTTGGATACAGCTTGCTCAACCTGGCATACGGCGCATGGGCAACACTATCCTTGAATTGGGGGAGCCACGGTTTGTAGATTCGCAAGACCACTTGTCGTGACTCGGAATTGACATGGAGGAGGGGTGGAGGTGCTGCTTTTGAGTAGAGGATACCTGTAGTCGGATGTATGCATATTTCGACGCATCGTGGTTCCAATTGGGGTTGGTTCGCGAGCTCGTAGATCCGCAGACGGATTTCAATTGGGAGTCTGGGGAATTGGAATGTCCTTTTCATGAGCATCGTGAAGTCAATTGATGGGTGGGGCGAGTGTGGAAGGGCGAGGGGCGAGGATTCTTGTGCAGCCCCTTCGACAAACGGATACATAAAATAAAGAAGATGTCAATATGAGACGTGTACGGTACATACAGGTACACACATTGAGCATCGAGTGGGGTGAGACGCGCCGTCGTGTGCATGTGCATGGACCCTCTCTGAAATCCGATCGGCAATACTGTACTGTAAGCGCCCGACTGTACTTCGTAAGCGAAGCTAAATATGGAGGCACATGGGAGGGTTCTATTCGTTGACCACTACAGTAGGCTCCCTGGTCCTGAAGGACGTCTAGAATTTGCTTACTCTCCTGTACCACATAGTACCCTGTCTCTTCTACACTGTGCCTCCATCTGTTAGCTGAATCGGTTCCCTTGGCAAAAGCCAGTCTCATATCTTCTCCATGAAAACTCACTTCTTGATGTGGCCATTGACACTCCAAGAAATTGATCTTGAGATGAATCATGACGCAAAGCGAGTTACGAGTGCCGCTGGAGTTCATTGCCATCCTATGCTTGAGTCGCGCCTATCCCATTCTTTGCGTTTGGTTGAGGTGCGAGGACTTCCACTTTGAAGCGAAGCCCTTCACCTCGCAACTACTGGATTGATAAGCAGTTGGGTTTTGATAACGCTTCATATTCATAGTATGTCGCGTGAGTTTTCACATCTCCCTCGACTTCTCTGCAGTATTTCTCGGGGGCCGGTACTTTGGCGGCAGATCAGTATCCTATTCATGTAACAGTCATTCTGCAATCATGAAGTGGCACAGTATTGAGAAGAGGGGCAACAGCTGCTAGAAATTTCGTCTCGCCTCTTCCGGTGTCGATGCTGTGCTGGCCTGTTAGGCTATGCCATTCGATGCCTTCAGGCGAATCGAAATCTAGCCACCTCGAGTAGGGGTGTCTCTGCATTGTTGGGCTTCTCATGGACAAGCACTGTCCCGCGCGCGAGGAAATTTTTATGCATAACTCGTAAGCGTGGATCAAAATGATCGTCCTAGCCGCGCAGGTGCCTCAGACTGATTGAATGGGACCGTTTCGAACGGCTCACCACTACAGTACCTCCACAAACTCTATACCAAAGGGACCCTATCATGAACCTCAAATTACACTGCCACATCTACAGCTCCTTCGAACTTGTTTCCAGAAACGAGGTACTTTTCAGATGAAGTCGTAGGGTGTTTTACATAGACCCATGGTCCTAGGAGATCTTCTAATTAGAGAAACCCCAATCAAAAGACTGGATTATATGTGGAATCAACCTTTTACTGTATCTATTAGCGCTGGGTTTCCGAGGATGTAGCCATTTTTACTCTTCCGGAGCTCAGCTTGAAGGCACGGTAGACATCCATGAACGTCTCTTGTCACTTTGGCCACACCGTAATCAAGAATCGAAAAACACCCCGTACCCTGCTTTAAGTTTATCCCAATAGCCCTAAGTCTGCGTACCATGAGGAGCTGTACTTTGCCCCCACACCCTCATCGGCCCTTTGCTTCCGTACAAGAGGGGAGGGTTTGAGCCCTCTGTGGTACAAACCACGAGGTCTTCGTCTTTTCTTTTACAATTAGTTGTCTTCTTGCAGGCTTACGGCCCGGTCTAGTTGTAGCCATTTCATTCTGACCAGTCAATCATTCTATCTTCTTGAGGATAACTCGCATAACCCACCTTCCTTCAGCTTGCCTTCTTCGATTCGACTCATTTTCTTGGAAGCGAGATCTTGCAAGCGTTACAATGCATTACACGTCTCTTCTCTCACTTGGCGCCTGCTGTGGTACGGTTTTGTGCAATTCAGAAGAGGTTCTGGCCAAGCACGAGGGTCATGGAGGAATTGACGGATGGTTTACTGGCAAACGTGCCAATGCATTCTATGGAAATTGGGTAAACTATACCATGTAGCAAGTCATCGAAGACGTTATCACTAAGTGATCCTCAGGATATTTACGCACGAAACTTCACTGTTACACAGATTCCAGTTTCAAAGTTGACACATATTTCGTACGCTTTTTGTAATATCAGTACCACTACCGGGGAAGTGTAAGTCAAAGTATGCGGAATTTTGTACAAATCAACTAAATGGTTGCAGTGTTCTTAGCGATGAAAACGCGGATTTGCGATTTGCATACCCAGGGGAACCCAAGGGTCTAACCAATGCGACTTCCTTAAAAAATATATACGGCAATGTTAAACAACTATTCCTACTTAAGAAGAAGAATCGAACCCTGAAGACGATGTTATCGGTCGGAGGATATTCGTTCTCCCCATATTGGTCTGCCATGCTGGCGTCTGAACCGAAGAGAGCACGATTTGCTTCATCTGCTGTCAAGTTAATGACTGATCTTGGATTCGATGGCCTGGATTACGACTATGAATATGTTACAAATGCTTCTCAAGCAGCGGACCTCATTGATCTCTTGAAGAAAACTCGTACTCTCATGGACGAGCATTCTCAAAAGAACAGTTTACCCCGGTTCTCACTTTCTTTCGACGGCCCTGCCGGTCCCGCAAAATATACACTCCTTGATATGAGAGGAATGGATAGATATCTAGACTTCTGGAACTTTATGGTAGGTCAAATCCAATCATCAGAAACCACACTTTCTAAATTGACGTTTTTACAGGCTTTTGATTACTCGGGAGGTTGGGATACTATCGCCGGTCACGCACAAAATCTTTATGGTGGAAACTCAAAAGGCGATGGTATTGCTACCCCCTTCAATACAAGTACAGGCATCAATTACTATATCGATAATGGCATTGCCCCAAGTAAAATAAATCTCGGGAATCCGCTCTACGGCCACGCATTCTTGAACACTACGGGACCAGGTCAGCGGTTTAATGGCACCGGAATTGGTAGCTTCGGAGAAGCGGGGGGAAATTGGGACACGAAGGCTCTTCCCTTGAAAGCGAACTACTCATCTGCTGAAGTCACCGAATTAAAGGATATTGGAGCAAGCTATAGCTACAGTGCTAAGGACAGGATGATGATTAGCTTCGATACGCCAGACATTGCGAAAATGAAAGCTCGATATGCCATGAAGAAGGGCTTAGGTGGGGCTATGTGGTGGGAGATCTCGCAAGACAAGAGCGGTAAGGATAGCTTGGTCGGCTCTTTCGTAGGAGAGCTTCGTGGATTGGAGAAGAGTATGAACAACTTGAAGTATCCTACCAGCGTGTATGAGAATATGAGGCTTGGCTTCCCTGACAATTAAGAAGGATCCAACTGCCCAAGAACAGAGACTAAAATGAAAACTCACAAGGGCAATGCCAAAAGATAGGGGTAAGGAGGACTCGGCAATTGTCAGGCGAAGCTTGGAAACGCAAACAGGAATACTTATCATTGATCGCCGTACACTCGATAATAGAATAAAATAAATCAAAAGCTACTTGTAATAGAAGACATCATTTTTGCATCAGATAACCGGCAACAAAACAGACGAAGGTCGTGTCAAGGCGGCCACGATTAGTGTTTTATCAGTTTGGCTGAAAACCCCGCTCCAATACTCGTTATGCTCCTCCTTGTGTAGAAGTCACCCAAATCCCCCCTGTAAGCCAAACAAGAGCCACATACCGAGACCAACTAGACGGGAACATAAAGCTATGCAGTCACGGAGTATCATCAAGACTGTCTCCATCGGCTGAGGTGAGAAGAGAATGTTCACCTACAGTGCAAGCAATAGAAAAGGGGTTGGCAGTCGCACAACAACCACCGCTACCGCTGCGTTGAGTAAGCAACGCAGCTACAGCCTCCCCCATTTTTCCCATCATCCCACGTGGCCAATCTGCAATCCTAGAGTAGAAAGATTGCACATCGAACTATGCGATGTGCAACGAAACGACCCTTCCTGCATCAACAAGAATCCCTATTCCCTGAACCAACCATAGCCAATCACACATCAATCGGGTTGCACTGCACGTCCCGCCGGAAATACCGTTACAGTATCGAGGGCGCGCATCCAAATAAATTTCATCAATTTTCAAGTACAGGAACGACGACGGTTAATTGACACGCCCCATCATTCACGTAGGCAGGGCGTTAACCAAGGATTTGAACAGGTTCGAGAGGGATAAAACACAACCCAAGCTCGTGCACAATGGGGAAGAACAAGCGCGGCCTCCAAAAGACATCCTCCAAGAAATCAAAAGTCCAGCACGTCAAAAACTCCAAACCAACAGGAATCTCCAAATCTCTCTCCAAAACCAAGAAAATAACCGATCAACCACCACCTTCAGCGAAGAAACCACAACAACAGCATATCAAACCACCAACCATCCCCTTCCACCCAAATGACAGCATCCTCCTAATAGGCGAAGGAGACCTCTCCTTCTCCGCCTCGCTATGCACACACCACTCCTGCTCCAAGATCCACGCCACAGTCCTAGAATCCTCACTCGAGGAACTGATTGCGAAATACCCCGCCGTGGGAGAGAATCCGGGTGCGGAGCAGAATATCAAGACCCTGGGAGAGGGAGGAGGAACAATCCGATGCGGTGTGGATGTCAGTAAGAAGGGTCTGGGGATGGGGAAGGTTAAAGAGAGATGGGAGAGAATAGTATTTAATTTTCCGCATGTCGGAGGGAAGAGTAAGGATGTGAATCGACAGGTAAGGTATAATCAGGGTATGTTTTGCTTTTTCTTCGCCTCTTCTGTTTTATATCGCTAAAGTATGAGACAGAATTACTAGTAGCATTCTTCACCAATTGCCTGCCTCTACTCTCTCCGACTCCCGGTTCCTCGTTTCTGATTACGCTTTTTGAGGGGGAGCCTTATACGTTATGGAATATTCGGGATTTAGCTAGACACAGCGGATTGGAAGTGAAAAGGAGTTTTAGGTTTCAAGCAGCTGCGTATCCAGGATACAAACACGCAAGAACTCTGGGTGTGGTAAAAGGAAAAGATGGCAAGGTTGGTGGGGGATGGAAGGGCGAGTCAAGGAGTAGTAGGACCTATGAGTTTGTTCGCAAAGGGGAAGGGGAAGTACAGGGACCTGGAAAGAATAAGAAGGGCGATGATAGTAGTGATGATGAGGATGATGCCACAGAGGAAGAGATGGTTGATGTTGAAGAAGTGGGTGATCACGGAGGGATAGAGGACGAGAAAGATGGAAATGCTTCAGACGATTACGATTGAGAGGCTTTGTTTTGGTTGGTTTATCCGCCAACTTATCATCATCCATAAGAGGAACGCCAGGGTTTCCTACCATGCTTTTTGGAACCCACCCATTCTATATTCTACAAGATTGGAATCACCCGATTGCGACGCACAGAGCCGACCCCTAGCTAGGATCTTGGTTGTCGCACGATGAGTGGTTATGTTGAAATAGTCTGGAAAGATGGCAGACTACCATTCATTGCTGCAGGGTCGCCATTGAATTGGTTTAACAACGCGCCATTGGCTCTATCCGACATTGGTAACAATCCTCTTCCCAGGTCACCCTCAGCAGGGTGTAAAGCATATTGGGATGCATCCATTGAATCACCGTCGAAAATAACCATATTTTGAATCGGCTGTTGGCGGGCACCAAGAACATTGATGACGTCTTGGGCCAATTGACCACCTAGAACTGCAGTGACGGGGGCTATTTCACTACCAAGGTTCCCCAAGAACTTTCGAAGAACCTCGGATCGTAGTGTTTCGTCCGGGAGACCTAGGTTCTTGTGCTTCTGTGTTGCTAGAGTTGTAAATTGTTTCAAACCCTCACTCGTGCTAGGTAGTCTTCCGCCGGAGGCATGCAAGAATGACCACAAGGCTCGATAACAGGACAGAATGGGAGTGACAGCCTTGAGTCGGTTTCTTCGGTTCAAAAAATCCTCTGGAGGTAGGCTACCCGTGTCGCTAGACAGCATCCATGTAGCGTATTTTTCTCTCTTGGTGACCAACTCAATATGCTTGACGCCCTCTTTCTTCTCCTTCACGTCGATGACACTTCTTGATCTCGTCTCTCTGCCCAGTGGCGTACTCTTGTTGCCCTTCTCCCGCTCGACCAAGTAGTCGTGCTCAATTAAGTCGGAAAATATAAAGCCATACATTCCATGCACGCCGGCCGCATAAAATCGTTTGCCATGGAGCCTTGTAATCGTATTTATCAAATCGAGACTCTTTGGCAACAGGTCTGTCGCAATGATGACGTCGAACTTTGAGAAGAAATCCTGTTCCTTGGTCCTGATGTCGTCCATGTCGACCACCACGTTCACTCTGGGATTTAGTTTGCGGATTTGCGGTGCTGCTGCCTCTGCGCGGTTTTTGCCCACGTCTGCCTGCGAAAGAAAGAATTGAGCGCCCAAGTCGGCCTCTGTGACAGTAGCATGGTCCACCACGGTGAGAGTGGATATCCCGGCGAGTACGAGGTTCTTTGCGATTTCGTTCGAAAGGGCAGACAGGGAGATGAGGAGGATGGAGGCGGATCGAATCTTTTCTTGAGCCTGGACACCCCAAAGACGAATTTGACGATCGTAGAGAGCGATTTCGTCTGGATATTTGCGTTAGTGTCCTATATCAGCGTGTTTACTATGGGTATCGCAATCGTGTTACTGGGGGGGGAAGTACCAGCGCTGATACCCTCCGGAACTGAAGGTGAGGGTTGGGGATTGGTAGCAGTAACAGCCTCCATTGGGGTGACTTGAGGCTGGACCTGAGCTTGGGCTTGAGCTTGCTCACGCGTTGGAATGGCGGGTGTTGTGCTCAAGTCTGCCATGGTGATGAGGGTGAGTTGGCTCTGAAGTGCTGAGGATGAAGTTGTACTTGTTGCCCTGATGTAGGTACCCTCAAGGTACTGTAAATAGCAAACGCGGCTGTCAGAAGAGGCTGAGGCTGAGGCTCTGGCGACCGCTTAGGTTATCACGGCCTTCTAGTACAGCCTTACCCTTACCCTTGATTTTGGGAGGACACTAGGTGGAAAGAAGAAAATCGAAACTTTTATAGTGGGGATCTAACAAGAATTTGTGCAGTGTCGCCAGTTGAAGATCAAGCATTGGAGCCTCACCCACCCCTCCAAAGCTACTGTACGCTAGGGTGAGGTATGTACTTGGTACCACCAATCCTACTATACTGTACCACCCGGCTAGCCTTCTAGCCTTCTCCAGCTGCCTACTAGCCTCATAGCCTCTAGCCTTCCTTCATGAGCGAATCAGCGAATCAGCGGGTACCTACAAGCACCCGAATCACCCACCCGAAGCACCTACCATCTTCCCCACAAAGTTCGCGAGGGTTCGCGCCCGTACTGGACCACTGACGGGCAACCTTAGCCCAGAAATTTGCCCACGCCCACACCCACGCCCATTTTTAAACGAGCCTGTAGAAGCACATGCACCATTCGCAATTACTCCGTAACCCTCCCATTGACTCCAACCCACCCCTCACCATCACCATCGCCATCCTCCAACTTGCCAACGTCTGTACGAACACTCGAGTACCCTTGAATTCACCCCATCGCCCTTGAATCTTGGACCAACACCAACACCAACAGCACCAACCTCCAAAAACCAATTCCTTTGTCGCTTTCCCTGTGCCTGTGCCGATCTCAACCCCTCAACCGCCCAACGCTGTAGCCGCACATCGCATCGCATCGCATCACATCGCATCACATCGCATCACATCGCACTTCAAATACCCAACCCACACCCAGCCCAGGCAGCCTGCTGTCAGCTCCAGATTGATGGTGAGTCGGTGCTGTCCATGGGATGAATTGCGCCTGCAAAAGCTGCTCAGAAGTCTGAAGGCGTGAGAGAATTCACTGCACGGTAGAGGGCAATCGGCGGTGGAACAAGGGTCGCATCGTACAGTACTGATGGTCGGCAGTCTAATAATCCCAACAACCTCCGAGCCTCAGCCAACGAGACCGCTGACCAGATCATTCGTGACATCCTCGACGATACTCGTTCCCCGGATGAGATCAGCCCCTCGGGCGAACTGTACAGATTTGTAGAGAGATTCCATCGAACTCGTGGCATCGAGAATAGCCACCGCTCAGCTCAGCAGTTGCCCAGCTTGCGAGACAACTTACGAGCCATTACTATGTCCTCCGATCCGGATCCAGACAGAAGACGCAGACTGCAGAGGGATGCACTCCAGTCGTCGCCCTTGTTTGCCCCTCCACCACAGCCGCAGGCCCTCGAGCCCACATCGCGGGATAGACTCATAAATTCGAGACTGTCTGCACTGGCACGTCGTACAGGCCGGCCCAGGATGTTGCCAAGTGACCGATACCAGGAGTCCCAGAGAGGTTGGAGAGATAATAACTCCACTTCTTCCGTAAGCAACTTCACTCTGGGCGATATAGGGGAGGCAAGGATGCGACTGGAGGATGCTAGCAATATGATGGAGGACGCCAGCTCAAGCTTGAGAGCTCGTCTGGAGGACCCTCTTCCGAGTCTGCCCTCGTCTGGTACCGAGTATCCTGACCCCGAATCTCGACGAGTCAAGCGACGCAAGTTGAACACCGACAAAAAGGACGCTGGTTTTCAGGGTTTTAGTTATGGGAGATATGGTCAGGTTGAACCAGGCAAATTGAAGATGGAAATTGTCAGTTGTGATGGTGGTATCTTTGAGATGCACCGTGGAGAACCTCGCGAGGAGTATGAACCCGAGAATGTCCTTCTGGACGATACTTCGGTCTATTGCACGAAGAGCAATCGATGCAATCTGGTTCTTCGACACCAAGGAAACACCACTTTTTGCCTTACCGAGTTGATCATTAAAGCGCCACACAAAGACTATACCGCACCGTATGTATACCTTGACCTGATATTCTAGAAATGTATTAATAGCTCTTTAGTATCCAAGATGGCTTGGTTTTTGTATCCATGACTTCAGACGACCTACTTACGAGGACTGCAAATTACCAGATACAGTATTCTCCACCTCGAAATCGACGGTCAGCCTTGGATAGATCACAAGATGAGCTCCCGCCCATCATATCCATCCGTCATAATGTTGGTGATGGTACTATGAGCACGGCTCAGGCTCGCGCCAGGCGTCTGTATGATATTGGCTTACAAGATGAAGACTGTGATTCTCGCACCGCACAGATACCAACCGACTTTACAAGTACAGCACCCGGCTTTTCAAATACCACCGAGTGCAGTGATTCTGAAGACGACAGCAACAATATAGGACTCCGACCACGACATCGCCGCCCTGCACAATATACCCCGTTTGACGATGGTGATTCCGATTGGGGTGAGGACCTCCCACGGCCACCCGAGACCCCGTGGCACGAATACTATCTGGGCGCCAGTACCATGGCTCGGAGTCTCCGTCGACGAGAAACAGCCAGCAACATCACATTAGATGGCAATTCCGAAGCGAGTCAAGCAACGCAGGAATCTGTCGAAGCTGAAGGTGGAGAGCTCATGATTCCTCATGCCAACTTCTTCATCGAAAGTAATAAGAGCAAATGCACGGTGAAGTTCGACCCACCTGTCAGCGGCCGTTTTATCTTATTGAAAATGTGGAGCCCTCATCCAAGTCCCTCGGAGAATATTGACATTCAAAGCATTGTTTGTAAAGGATTTGCTGGGCCAAGATACTTTCCTGCTCTTGGTCTAAGATAATTATTGTCATTGCCTCGATATCGGGAGACGTTGTAACAAAAATGAACGTCTCTTTTTGAGACCTTTCAGTTGTTTATACGGTCATGGGAATACCCTGGCAGCGTGAAATGAATGCGGTGTGGCATTTACACGTCAAGTAAAATGAGTTATTCGTCGCATCGGCTGGCTAGGGTACATATTAGACTAGCAAAGTAGCTAGGGAAAGATGATTTCATGGCATTTTTCATGGGTACGAATAATGAGATTTTTTTTCTCTCCATGGTTTCCCTATTTCAAAGCTGAAATCCTACCTTAAAGGAGGACTTGGGTTTTTACCTTAAAGGAGATCTCTCTAATAATATCGGAGGTACGAGTAAACATTGTCTCGACGTAGTATTTCGCTTCTTCCCTCTAGGCCCTTAGGGAAGGAGTAGGAGAACCATTTAATTAGCTTAGAGAAGGGGGGAGAATCGGTTAGCTAACTAGTTAGAATTAGATAAGAAGGGTATAGAAGACGAGAGTATAATATTGAATGAATAAGCTAGAATATAGAGAGAAGCTAGCTAAGGGGCGGGTAGGGCTCTAATATCCCTTAGACTATAAATTATATAGTGCCTAGGCTTAGTATAGGGTTTTAAGCGAGCCGTAGCGCCGCTATACTGTAACGAATACTCAAACTGGCTAACTAAACTTGGCTGGGTGTTCGCTGGTTGGTATGCTATGATAAGAAGAAGACTATCGGGTTGTTCACTTGGAAGTGAACTCGTTACTTGTATCAAAGATGTCAAACTAATATGATAAGATTGATAACTAAGTTGAGCACGAAGCTCCTATCTAATGGCAGACGTGCCAGTCTTATATAGACCCTTCACTTTCCTGTACTTTGCCAGGACCGCTGGTCGGTCCTGTCGTTCCAGAAGTTCAGACCGATCGTCGGTCCAGTCGGTCCAACTAGTCACGTGATAAGATACGAAGGAAATCCCTGGATCGCTTAGCTAGTCTAAGCATCCCTATTTGCTATAAGAAACCTGGATGTGCCTGTCGAGGGTTGCGCCTCTTTATTATGACAAGTATCATGTGAGCACGTGATTCGTGACAGGGGGCCCCCGTAAGGTCTAGAACTCGTATTATCTTATATTACCGCTAAGCTATACTTAGCTATACGGGGAGCCGGTACCGAGAGCCGCGTATATACTTAAGCCTTACCTATATATATATAACTCTTTACACCTACGTAACTATATACGTATATATCGGAATAATATAAAAATCAGATAGGTTTATACGCGTAATTAAGTAGTATCTTATACTTGATTTATTTGTCTTTATAAGCGCTAGAAGTACCGCTACGTAGCTAGAAAGAGCCGTATACGCTATAACGAGTTTTAGTATTCCTACTAACTTACTACGTACCTACTTTTCCCTTCCTAAACTAGTAAGTCTTAATCCGCTAAGCCTAAACTAGTAAGTCTTAATCCGCTAAGCCTAAACTAGTAAGTCTTAATCCGCTAAGCCTAAACTAGTAAGTCTTAATCCGCTAAGCCTAAACTAGTAAGTCTTAATCCGCTAAGCTTAAACTAGTAAGTCTTAAAGGTTTACATTCTAGACCTTATAAAGGATTCTATGGTCTCTTTTAGAAATCCGAGAAACGAGGGAAAGATTTATATCGAGACGAGAGTATTATACTAGATTAGTTTTTTAAATTAGCTTAATATAATAATTTATAAGTAAATCTTTTAATTTATAATATGTAACTAAAATATTATTAATAAAAAAGAGTAAAAGAAACCTTTTCTCTAGATCCTAATAAATATACAGCTCTTTCTTAAAGGGTTCTAAACTATACTTCTTAAGCGTTAATTAAAAGTATTTAAACTATAAAGCTAGAGAATCCCTTAGGCTATAAAATACTTTATTAAGCTTAATATATATCTTAAGACTCTTAAACTTATTTAGTATATAATATACTACTAAAGGTTTATTTCTATTTCTTTTAGTATTAATAAATATATTAATAATATTAAATTACTTAATTTTAAGGTTAAAGTAGATAGTAATAGTTATATATATCTTAAAAGATTAAGCTATAAGCGTAGTAGTATAAGTAAATTTAATTATCTTATTATCTTAAAGGTCTCTTTATACTATAATCCTTAATTTATAGTAGGAAATATCACCTTTAGAATCCTTTTTATATAAAAAAACCTATATTAATAATATTTATAGAGTTTTAGTATCTTTAACTAGTATCTCTTTTTAATAGTTTTAAAGCTCTAAGTTCTAAATTTCTCTTTTATAATCTTTTCTAAACTAAAATCCTAAGCTATATATTTATAAATCTTTATATAATTTTAGTTTAAATAGTAGTTTTAACTTATAAATTTTTAGTAATTCTATAGATTCTTTTAGAAGTATTACTAAAGAATATACTTATATTACTATTACTTTATAAAAGTAACTATAATTATTACCTTTTAGCTTAAAGTCCGAATATAGTAATATATTATTATAAAGTAAAAGTAATACTAAGACTACCTTTTTTATATCTTTTACTCTTATTAATTTTAGATAATTAACTTTATTTGGTTATTTTAAATTTCTATTATTCTACTATCTTAAGCTTCTTTATATTAGTTCCTTAGAATTTGATACTATATCTTTTACTCTAGAACTACTATATAGTCTTATACTACTTCTTAAATTTTCTAAGTATTATATTCTAGGTATTTTTTAACTCTTCTTTAGTTTTATTTTATTATTTTTATTATACTTAACGTGCATGTATAGCGAACCGGCCAAACAAGCGAACCGGCCAAAATTTTCTACACTCGCGATGGAAATTGTAAGAACTCTACCACAACGCCTCTAATTAAAAAACACTATTCAGAAATTTCTTCCTCAGATACTTCCTCTATAATACTACAGGTGCGCGTATTATGACCAGTCTCTCCGCAGTTGCCACAGCGCCGTGCACGTGATTCTTCCCTCGGCTTCCGACCA